TCATCACAATCTGTTTCGTCTTCATCATCTGTGTTACCCTCATCCATAAATAAACAGTCATCTTCTGATCCGTCCAGATTATTTGAAATGCTGCATTTTTTGAATGATTTTCTAACCATCTCAGGCTTAATTTCATCCCATACTTTTAATATCCATTCGCACACTGTTTCCAAACTTGCATGGCGCATATATCCTTCTTTCGTAAAGATTTTCTCGCCCTCCAACATCCAAGTGTTCCACTGTTTTTTTAAATTGGCTTTAAATGGTTTGTTTAAGCAGACGTCCAATGGCTGAAGAAATGGTGTTAATCTGCCCGGAATAACTGCCATATCGGTGTTACATTCTTTCAACAATTTTTTTTTGGTATTATCTGTAAGGTGGGACCAAAACATGTCCCATACTAAAAGGTTTTCTGGTTTTCTATTGATACTAGACCAGATATTGCACATGTACAATCCAAATTTTCGTGCGTGTTATACGAAGAGTATCTTAAAATTTAAAAAAGTTTTCAGAAATTACGGGTGCGCGTTATACGCCGGGGCGCGTGATGCGCCGGAATATACAATATTACTTGTATTACATAATACAGAAGTGCTAACTATTACCATTTATCTGTAATTATTATATCATAGTCAAGATTACAGTCTTACGGTTGAGTAATAAAAATTACAGTTTTGAGAATTTCCATAATAAACTTTTAATCTTCTCTTATTATAGATAAGTAAAAAAAAAAACATTAAACTTATATTAAAAATCCAGTGAGAAATTATTTTTAGTGGTTCAAATGCGGGATGATAAAAAGGCAATAAGGGCTATAGTTTTAATTTGACAAAAAACTAGAACATTTATTATAAGTGATGAATTTAATTTTATCCTTTTATAATGAAATTAAAGGTTTCAGTGATGTATAATTTTAGTACGTTTCTTATTGTTACTTTTTTTAAATTTAATACATAGTAAATTCATGCATAATTTTATTCGATATTATATATCTGCATAGAATTAAGTAGTGCTTGAAATTGTGCTTATTTGAATTTTGTAAGCACTAACTATTTATGTTACACTTATTGAAAAAAAAGTCGTCATATCTCGATTTTGTTTTAAAGAGGAAATTAATTTTTCAGCAAGCTTTTAAACAAAATTAGAGTGCAGTCAATAATAATATAATTGGTATTTCAGGGGTCTGTCCAGGCCAAATTTACTACCGTTTAGCGGTACCTTTACAAATTCAACTTTAGGAAAAACGGTAGTTTCACAAAATACTTTTTCTTAAAATTTTATTTTTGAATCCTGTAAGAAACCATAAATCCATATTTTTTGTTGAATTTTTAAAATAATTTTTAATTTTCACAAACTATGTTTAAATTTTCACAAAATAAGTACCTCTCAGAAAAACCTAAACAGACCCCTGTATTTTATTTTGAACTATTTCTTATATGTAAGAATGTTATTGTTTGCCACAATCAATGGCCTATAACAGTAATATTTTTTATTTTAAGGTAAAATTGGTATTGTTATACTTTTTATTACTGATAGCTAGTTTAGATAGGTGGCACATCTGCATAATGTTATACTAATTGTCATATCGTGATTTTGTTTTAAACAGGATATTTTAATTTCTTAAGCATTTTTGTTGTGCTGCATAAAATATATGTAAATGTTTCAGCAAACTCTTCAACAAAATTATAAAGCAATTGATAATACCCTAATTTGAATCCTATTTTGAACTATTTCTTATCTATAAAAATGTCATTATTTATCACCCTCAACAGTCCTGTAATGGTTAATACTTACTGTATTTTTCTGATTTTAAGGTAATATCGTGCTGCATGTATTTCTTGAAGAAACAAGAACTCTCTACGATATTGAGTCTCTGTGGTTGTTTGATTCTGCTTTTGACAGAGGTGGCAACATGAAAGATGATCCTTTATATACTGCTATTGAACAACAGATGGCTTTTTTCAATTCTATTAATGAAAAACTGTCTGAAAATTCTAAACAAAAATCAATTTAGTTTTGCTTATATATTTGCATAAGTGCATCCTTAAAATTTTTATGGAAGCAGAATATTATTCAAAAATTAATTCGAAGATATGTTTAAAATATTTAGTTTATGTATGTTATTTATTAAATAAAATTCAACATTGAATATTTTGGTGTTTTTGTTTTTTTTAAAAAAGATAGAAAGGAATTATTTATTATTACTGATTAAACAATGTGCACATATTGTAATGGCAATAAATAATGTAATTATGCCCCCCCCCCATTAGTGTAGAATCATTTCACCTTGTAAAACACTAGTTTTAACTTTTTTATTTAGAAAAAATAGTCCAATTTAGAGGTCAGAATTTATTTTATATTTAAGTTTTTAATTTTTTTTAAAATTAAAATCTATACATTAATTTTCTGAACCTTTTGAGGTTGTTTGAAATAGTTGGAGCTAATTAAAGAATTAACAAATTTAGATTCTTTATTGATAAATCAAAGTTATCTACTATAGATTTAGTAGAAACTAACTTCATAGAATCTCTTAGTGTGAAGAATGCACATCACTCTTATGAAGTTTATTTCTATTTTTTTAAATATTAAGTAATAAAAAAAAAGAGGTAAGTATGTTTTAGAAATTGAATATCTTTAACATGATATAGAAATATGATTTTGTACTTAACAAAAAAAAGATTGGGAATAAACTAATCACGTGTACTGTTTATTCAAAATTAAATTATTTTCTTTAATAAGGATATCAATTTTTAACCTTATTGTGAATTATGTAAATATATTACAAAAGTTTGTTGTATTTTTAAATTTGTTGAAAGGGTTCAGAATGTAAGGAAAATAGAATTGTAAATTTTTTTTCCAATATTTCATTATTAGGTGGGTATTAAGCTTTTAGATTTTTTAAGCTAATATAATGTTATTCAAAACGAAACACGTTCTCACGACTAAGAATTCACATCTGGCATTTTAGTTCTAAATTTGAATTAAAGAATTACTAGAATTACCATTTTAAGTTTTTTCCTTTACCAAGGGTGAGAACCGGAGAGATTCCCGACCTGTTTTTTGAACTAATTGTAAGAAATATTTCCTTTTCTGCAGGTAACTTAAAAGATCTTCAAAAAAGTTTGAGAGATTTTCTTTAGCATTAAATGGTGGAGTTCATTGTGCTGGCCTTTTGCCTACATAGCATTTTTTTTCCCTTTCTATGCCATTATATATATGTATGTGTGCACTATAGTACTATTTAAAATAATACGATTAAAATAAAAATGTACACTAATTCATAAAGAAAATTTTTTATCCACAAGCAAAATAAAAAAATTTGTAAAAATCATTTTAAAAAAATGGGAAAATTTTAAAATTTATCACATATATCTAAACAATATATGTGTGTATGTAAGTTCAAAATATAAAGAAAACATGGGGAAAATTATAAATAAAAAATTATTTATGAAAAGAGAAGAAGAAAATTATTTAAATAAAAGGGTGAGAATATATTAATCTGTATATATATATATGCTTATATATATATTGTATACGTATATATAAATGCATTTTTAATTTTTAGGGCATTATTTTTATTGTTTTAAGTCACTTTTTATTTTGCTTTTTCTTTATGAATTATATGAATCTTATTATTTTAAATATTCAGCGATAACAGTGTGATGTTGAACTGAGTTTTTTAAGATAATAAGAATTTGCTTTTGGACAAAAGGCAATCTTTCAGTTTGTAGAATATCAAAAAGTATTCGACAGTGCAATGCATTTCTGATGTTCTTAAAGATTATTGATAAATATTAGTTAATCCCTATTTATCTTTATCTGGTATTTGTTTTAATTTTATTTTATAGATGAATTACACATTTATTTTAATTATCAACTTATTTTTTACTAAATTTAAAGATAAAAGTTACAAATTATACTCTTTCAATATAGAAAAGCAACTATAAAACATGCATTTAAAATTTTATAAGGACAGAGTTTTTCATTTTAAGGCCATTTTTGATGGTTTTTTACAGGCTTTTTTTTTTTCTTTCAATTTTTTGTTATGAACATTTTAGCAGTGATGGGTAAATAACGAGCAGGGCGAATAAAATATGTACCTAATAATTAACCTCAAAATCAACGAAGTATTTCATAAAAGTTTTCGACTAGTTTTGAAAATAATTATTTGTTTTTTCTCCCCAAATAAATGTTTGAAATTCATATACAGTAAAAAAAAATAATTTAGAAGCGCATCTATACACATCTTTAACTAATCTCTCTCTTTAACAAAAAAATTAAATAATCGAAATAAAAGCATTTTTCTTAACCTAAAAAAAGAAAAACGAGGCCATAAAACGAAACATGTTTAACCTCTTTCTTTTCAAATATATTTCAAACAGCTAATTCTACAAATTTAATAGAACTAAACAATTTAAAATACCTCAACCTTATAACCCTTAGACCTTATTTAAATACAACCTTAGTTTGCTTTCTACTTAATAGCAAACAAACATAAAATAAATTGGTAAGTAAATATTAGAATGTAAAACATTTTCAAATTCAAAGTAGTGAACATTACATTATGGCTGAAGGTCACCTTTCAAGTGCTGAGGATAAATAATACAGAAATCATTTCTATATATCTCTCTAGAGTAAAAATTAAGTTTCTGCTGCCGATGTTTCAAAGAAATTTTTGTCATATGTGCTATTTAACCTTCTGACTGCTAAGGGTGCGTTTATAAGCGCGCAGCGAAAACCATCGGTGTGACATAGAAGCGCGTTTGATGCAATCTAAACCAGTGGTACTCAGAAGGTCCTCCATGGAAAGTTCACAGGGATTCCAAAAATTTTAATCTAATTAGTTTTTAATCTAATATAAGTTATAAATTTTTAATCTAATCAATAATAATATTTATCAATCAATATAATATATATATATAATCATTTTTCGGTTGCCTTTACGAATTTTTTTCTAGTAAAATGCCAAAGAAAAAGAAATGGTAATTTTGTTTAAAAAAAAATAATTTTTCTAATAATAGAGTGAATAAATTTTGAAAAGGACATGCATTTATAAAAAAATTACATTGTTATTTCCCATCGGATGTTTCAAACCAAAATAAAATAATGTTAATAAGGAAATATGTTTTCTTAATAACCATTTTCAACGTTTATAACAGTGTAGTTTAGTCAAAGAAAATCATAATTCGGCTTATTATCTTCGTTTTCTGCTCATGTATATACACAAAAAAGATATTCATTACTACACTAAATCCAAGATTAATTTTAACAAACACGTCATTCTCTCATTAAAAATTTTTAAATGTAAATATTAGTATTTTATTGGCTATTATGTTTACGTTCACAATTATCTTTACACATTTTATTTATAAAATCGGGGTTCAACAGAAAGATGCTCCATCGTTTAGGGTTCTATTGACCGAAAAGAAATTGGGGAACTCTCTAAGACTATGGACAGAAATATGCACTTGTCGCTACTATCGCGTGTATGTTTCATGTGCAAATTATTTCTTTCGTATATGGCCCAAAACTTGCAGAAATGTCATATTCTGTTGCTTAAAAACAAAAAAATTGGATCATTTATTTGGTCATGTTGCCAGAAACTTGTGATTGTTGCGTTAGCATATTTATTCTATCATTACATTTGTGGTGCATAGATATTTAAATTATTATTTGCTGCTATTAATACCCCAAAAATGAGTTGTAGTTTTCAAGAATTTGTTACTGGTATCCAGCCAAATTTTTATTGTCAAATTATTTCCCGAACCCGACATTTACCAGGTACTTGGACCCAGCCAATTTTACCTGGTATCCAGTGCGGGCAGCACTAATTTATGAGCGACACAACCATATTCAGATTTTATTTTATAACCGTCGTTGAAAAGCCGACCTAATTTTTTGGGTATGCGACTATTACTAATGTTCAACTCCGTAGCCTTGTAATTTTGAACCCTATCCAGAAGACAAGGGAACTCCTGGATCAAGTATGAAATGGGCTTTTTGATGGAACTAACCTACACTTCCGTTACATGATAAGGAAAACCTCCCACGGTTAGCCTGACGGCAAGGGGACTCTAACGCATGATCCGTCTACCACTGAGGATAATTTACGTCAGCACTGTGGTCGGTGCAAGTCAGATGCGGAATTCGTATAATCCAGAGATCTCTGGGATTCGTTTCACCTCATTGGAAGGCGAATCCCAGAGATGATGCTCTATCCCCTGAGCCATCACGGCTCGTATTCTGATTTATAGTGATCTTAAAACTATTTATAGTTTTGTAAATCAATGTATTCTATCAGTTTCTTATCATAACTGGTTTAGGCACAACATATTTTACTTTTGTGCAGAATTTTAGTCCAAGGAAACCTTGGCAAGATGGACAACTTAGGGACAAAGAACTAAGTTTGCTAAGAAAACGTGCAAATTCAGAAATCTATTGCTGAAAACTGTTGTAACAAAATTAATATGATAATTAAATATAAAAAAATTAAAATATAGAATTACTTTGAAATTTATTTAAAATTATTAAAATCGAAATGAATAAATCACAATGAATAAAATTCGAAGATAACTGTTTAAAAATACTTAATGTGTATTACCCTCATGCTAAATTTACTTTCAGCAAATAAATAAATACAATAATATGTTATCATTATTTTGGTCCGTAGTCTTCTTGTCATTTTATAGAAGTATAGTGGATAAACATTTCAAACATAACATGAATATTTACTTATAAATTTAACTCAATTACTTTAATGCTGTTACGAATTTAAACATCATTCAAAATTTATTTTCTTGTAAATAATAGCACCTGTTCAAACTGAGACGATAGTTAAGAATCTAATAGATTAATGTTTAGAATCTAATAGAATAACAATTAAAAGGTGTATAGCAATTAAAAACACGAGCAATGCACGTGTATCTTGCGTTTTAAGCCTTTTTGGATAGCAAAATTAATTTTCATTTTAGGTCTATTATTAAATAAAACACAATGACTGACTTAGTGCTTCATTTTCAAGTAAACTGGCTTTTACTTGATTTTTATTCAACCCGATCAATGGGCGAAGTGTTAAGCAATTTTGTCCCTACTCCTTAAGTTATAGTTGGGGCCTGTTAGTTTAGATGCATATAGCATGTTGCTGTAGCACAATTGATTTTCAAAAATGATGCTTTGAGTCCCATTTTGAAATTCAATTATTTATATCGTCATTTATAAATAAATTAAAAATTCCTAAAAACAATTTCAAAAATGACTTCGTTTTAATCTTGCAGCATTAATAGTGGGTAACATGAGCGCTGTAGGCGGGAGACGACGACGGTGGGTATATGTCCTTCTCAGTAATTATAAATCTCTAATAGTTCCCCTCAATATTTCAGACAGGTAAAAAAAAAAAAATAATAATGAATCATCATCGATTTAAATTCACCGAAATTATAAACAAGTAAGCGATAAAAATATGATGAATCTCTTTAAAGATATTTAGCAGATATAAGAATTTCTTTTTCCTATGTGCGAAATTTAGAGAATTATAATGACTGTGTGTTTTAATTTCGTCCCCCACAAAAATTAAACACCTGTGACGTCTATATTGGATAATAATTTAAAAGCAAATCATCTGCTCCATTTGCGAAAAAGAGGACGGTATATCCCCTAAATAATTACAAAACTCTGAGAATTCCCCGCAATATTTGTGGCAAATAACGAAAATTTTTAGCGAAGGAGGACGGCGGGTACATGTATACCCCTTAAATAATTAGAAAACTCTGAAAATTCCCCCCAATAATTGAGGCAAATAAAGAAAACTTTTATGAAACATTATGAGGCTTAAACACAGTTAACTTAAAAATAAGGTAAGATGTAAAAAGCTATCTATCTTTTTGCAGAAATTTTGAAAACAGAAAAAAGTCTCGTTAATATCTCTTTTTTATGTATGAAATTTAGGTATCTATTGAAACAGTGCATTTTGATTTCACTCCTGACTAAAAAAAAAATAATAATAAAATAAAATAAATAAATAGATAAAATTCTTCCCCTGCGACGTTAAAGCAAATAATGAAAACTAAACAGATTTCATAACATATTGGCAGAGATTATGTTAATGATAAATTTACTCGGATTTCCTTTTGAGTTTTCTTTTCTTTATTTTTCTCTAAAAAAAAACTTCCTTTAATTTTATTTTAATTAAATTGAAGCATCAATATTTATTTTTAATCTTAAAAACAGAATTTTAAGAAAATGCCATTAAAAACAATATAGCGCAACAAGTGCTATGGCATTACACATTGTGACACCCTTATAAATTTCTGTCTATAATATTTCATTGTATTTTATATGTTATAGTATTTTGACGTGTATCTTCACTTCTTATTCTCTTTGCTCATTCATTCTTAGACACCTAACGAGCATTTCGAAATTGTAATTAGCATTTTATTTAGAATTAGAAATATGTATTAATAATCTGGATGCTATAAAAGCGTTAATGACCCATCATCTTTTAATTCAGAGTGGAGCTTACGGTGTGATTTGTTTTTACGGCTATTTTATGATTGTGTTGTTTTAAAATTAATTCTTTTCTTTAATAAATCTTTGATTTAATGATGTTAAAAATAAAATGTCGATAAAAAGTTTTTTGTGCGACACCTCGGCGTCTTCATCTCACATTAAAAAGAAAAAAAAAACCATAATGAGTTTCTAAATTCTTTCTGATTTCTTAGCATTAACTAAGAGAAATGAAAGAAATTTACGTTAAAATGAAAGGAACAATTTAAATTTGTAAATCAGATTGTTTGTTAAATTTTCAACAATTATAAGCAATTAATAAATTTGACGCATTTTTGTATGAAAAAACTATCACACTTAAACTACGGTAATAATAAAAGTAAATAAAAAGAAAAACCATTGATTTTTTAAATTATTATTTTACAATTATTATTTTTTTTTTTTTGTGCATACTGAATATGGATTGTTAGCAGGCCTCTTTTTTGTCCAGACAATAAAAAAAAATTCTGCAATAAGTGTCGTTAGGAGAACGTCATTAATTTGAAGTTGTAAATAACTATCTGCGTTTTACGACAATTGAATTAAGTTTTGCAGAATTTTACCATTCGAAGAAAAAAAAAACGTTGTTATAAGCTTATTATAGTAATAATTCAAATAACGTAGTAGCACACAGCATAAAGTCTTGTTCGCATCTTTTTTTTAATATTTTTTTTATCAGAAACTACTTTGGAAACTTACGAAAAAACTTTCAAATTCTGGATTACGTTTCTTCAAAAAATATGAAAAGTAATTTTTAAAACATATTTTAAAGGTTAATTTAAAATAATAATCATAAAAAAACATGCTTTTTTTTTGGATTACGTTTTACGCTATAAAAACATATTACTTCGTACATTATGTTGATAGAATGAGGCAAACGCAAGCTAAAAATTTCAAAATATGTAATATAATAATGATAATAATGCATAAAAATAATGAGTACTATTTTGTATTTCTTTGGGTCCAACACGGTTTGTAATTGCATGCAAATTGTGTTAGATAATTTCACTGGAAACGCAAAAGTATAAAATTTATAAAATGTTGTTGAAACTTTTCTTACATTTTGAATGTAGATCAATCTGTTAAGCACTATCAACTGTGAATCAAGTAGCTACAATTTATTAATTTAACATATTTTACATGCATCTTGCTGTTTATGAAAATATAACAACTTAGACAATGAAAATCTGACTACTCTCATTTATAAGTAGCGTTACTTATTGTTTTTAATTGTTATTGCACTCGATTGATACTGTATATGTTATTGTGAATGACCGAAATTGGTGGTTATTGACTTTCTCCGATGAATGTTGACAATCACATTGTCGCTTTGGTAAATGTCCGAAATATATACTAGGTCTAGTTAAGTGCCACTGCTCGGCATACATTTGCCGGGTATGCCTTGCTTCAAAGTTATTTTACGATTCAGTGCCTCTCCCCGGTATAATTTGCCTGGTATTCCGATCACTGATGTTTCTCCTAATCTATCCTCAGAAGATATTAAAATATCGAATAAATATTAATAATATCAGCAAATAAATTAATATAAAATCGGATATAACAAATATTTCGGACATCCACCAAAGCGACAGTGTGATTGTTGACATTCACCAGTTCTCTTGATTCACGGCAACATATATAACTTAATTTCTCAGCAAGTGCAGTAGGAAATACCTTTGGAATTCTTTTATTTCAAAGTAACACTATTATACGTTAAAAAAGTTACGTTTTAAGACAATTGTAGCACCTTTAAATTTTAACTGCAAGTCTAATTCTAACCTACGTTAAATCAAACAGTAAACCTAAATCTATTAAATAAAAGTGCCGAAATTTCAAACGATAAATTTTTTAATCAAATTTAATAAGTTCTTACAGTAGATAAAAAATAATTGCAAAGGTAAAAACAGCAGTTTTTTTATTTTATTAATTAGCTTAATTTTTTAGCTTCCATTTTTTTCCTACATCCCTGTATACCGTACTATAATTTGCTGTTTAAGAATTCATGTAAAAATGATTAAGTAAATAGTGGTGTATATTTGAAAGCTGTAAATGTCAATTTATAAAAGAGACTAATAAACTATCATGTCAGTTTATAAACAAGACTTATAAACTGATATTTAAGATTAATATCATTATTATAATTTGAGTGATTATTTATTTGATAGTTAGACTCATTTATTACATTAACGCCTCAGAAATAACCAAAAGGATTCTTTTGAAGATCCAATTTCAGATAATTTTGTATTTTCATCTAATTTTTTGTAACAAATTTTATACCATTTAATAAAATGAATTTTAAATTATTACATGATATCAAAATAATGTATGTTCAGATAAAAAAGAAAATATATAAATTAACGTTATTAAATGATGTATATTGTAAGCTTTTTTAGTCATAGATATTATAATCTAGGAAGATCGTCCTTACTATGAATTTTTAAAATCCTTATCAAAAATGAAAGTTAAAAAGTATTCCCACGGGGGGTCACGAATTAATATTTAAAGGAGGGAAAAAAAAAACATTAGCGAATTTATTTATTCATTAATTCGCGTAACTACACAGTTTGGTTTTTGCATTTTTTTCCTCATAAATTCATTTTAATGATATTTTAACTTCAAACACATTATAAAGATAAATAAATAAATGAACAAAAAATTTTATTTTCTAAGAGAAAAATTACAAATCATTTAAAATAAATTTAAAAAAAAAAGAAAAAAAAAAGCGGATAATAATGGTATGTTTTTCTTACCCAAACATTATTCTTAAGTTTAATTACTGTTATAGAATATAATATCATTAGTATTGCGACTTATTTACAGAAAATAAAAAGAAGTTAAACCTAAACCACAAATAAATGACTTAGACGACTGTCTATTTTTATATGTAAAGAATTAGTTGTACATTTTAAATTATTGTTAGGTTTTAATAATTTTTGCATTAATTGCAGTGCTATAAATTTTTCAGAAATAATCATAAAATAATTTGTCCTAATTGTTAATCATAAATCCTTATCCTTTTTGTTTTGACAAGAATCAAAACGGAAGAACTGTCCGAGTGCATTTGACCAAAAAGAAATCAATGGAATAAAAGTTGATAAATTATCCCGTATATTTATTAATTTGACGTTAATTTTTTAACTCTAAGTATCGCATAAGGTGGTTTAACATGCCCACTTTTCTTAGTCCAAACCAAAGATAAGCGAAATTTTGCTAACGTTGTGTAATAGGCATGTGGCGCAACCTTGGATGGACGCAACCTTTGTCCGAAGAAGAGCTACATTTTGCTAACGTTGCGTAATACGTGTTGTGTGACGTGAACATCACGTGATTATTTTAGCGAATAACAAGAAAGTATGATTTGACGATAACTGTTTATTATTTTGCTGTTTTTAATAAAAAGGTGAATGCCAACCGTAACCGCATCATCTTAAGTTTTTGTGTGTAAAGGTGACAGATGGTTATCGAGTTTACGTGGCGTGATATTTAGTAAGTTTACGAGAGTCGTGTTATTGTATTTAAAAAAAAATAAAGAAGTTTGAAACAATGTCTTCTAGTGAAGAAACAACTGAATTGAAGGCTGGTCACCCTCCTGCAGGTAATTTTTATATGTAAACATAAAATGTTTGCTTTGTGATACGTTTTGCCATCTTGTCAGAACAGACCATTACGTTGCATTGCATTGCTTATACGTCAATTCAGTTTATCCATTCCTAGTTATAATGTTTATGTAATTGAGTGTATTTTTGTTTAATAAAAAGTAGTATGCTCAACTTTGCAATTTTTTAGAACTATTTATTTCATAAAGGGTTAAAAACTGATAAAATTGGAAAACGCAATGTTTTGTCATTGTTATTCAATGTCACAACAGATCATATCTTGCTCTTAAAACATTAACTGTGTGGATATAGCTATGTTTTTTTTCTTTTTTTTCCTCTTTAATACTTCTACTTTGTTTTGATGTGTTGACAAGTTTTATTTTGCTTTTATTTTGTATTTGAGATGTTTACTTTCTCTTTTTAAGTATAAAAGAGTATATTTGCTATCGCTTGATATGCATGTATCTTAATTTTCGTTACATATAAAAATTGTTACTTTAAAACTTGTGCAGTTAATTTATTCAACAGTGAAGTATAGTGATAAAGTAAATTAAATATGAGTATATTTTCTATGGTGCAGACCCGTAATGTGATGATGAGCTCAATATCTCAAGCTAATTTCCTTTTATATTTTGACCAAGCTATTGACCAGAAAAGGCGAATTATTGTTTTTAATTTTGTGAATTTTCACAAGTTCAAAAACCAATCTGTGATGGTAATTGACACAAACACATATCGATGTGAAACATTCTCCATTCAGTTGTGTAGTTTTAATGTATTAAAACTACACCATGTAGCTATATGCATGTTAGAAGAGGATAACCGGAGCTCATTAGTCAAATAATGTGTTATATTAGAAGGGGTTTAGTCCCCAAACCTACACGCCTGTATCAATTGCATGTGTCAATAGTTATGTAATATATTTTATAGTCCTCAGAAACAATACATCCAACCAATCTTTTTCTGTTGGTCTAAAATCTTAAGTAGATTTAGTTTTTAATTTTTAATCTAAATCTTCAGGTTAATTCTTTTGCAAAACTTTTCAAGTAAGGGATAGTGCAATCGCATTCCAATGAGTTGAACCGGATTCGAATCCCATCGATGGCTGGTCTATATGAATTCCGCATCCGACTTGCACTGACCACAGTGTTGACATGAAATATCATCATTGGTAGACGGATCATGGGTTAGAGTCCCCTTGCCGTCAGGCTAACTGTGGGAGGTTGTCGTGTTTTTCTCTCCCTGTAACACAAATGCGGGTTAGTTCCATCAAAAAGTCCTCCACGAAGGCGAATTTCTCCCAATACTTCCCAGGAGTTCCCTTGTCTTTGTCTTCTGGATTGGGTTCCAAATTACAAGGCTACGGAGTTGAACATTAGTAATCGTAAACCCATACATTTGGGTCGGCTGTTCAACGATGATTATAAAAAGCAGGTGTTAGTCAGGTTGGTAGGGTAGGGTACTGGGCCCATGACTCCCCGCGTAGCCCCGTGGCAGAATCACGGCGACATGGTCGCAGAACGTTATCGAGTTGTTGCAGAAAGATTTATCTTTTGTAAAGTACAAATAAAGTTTATTTTTCTGCAGAAATTTTCGAATTATTTTTATCTTTTCTTCAGCATTATGTTCAAGAGATGTCTTTCTCGCGCATTGGAGTGAAAAAATGCTTGTGATTTTTTTTATTCGCCTTTGATAATAATGAAAAAGAATAATGAAGTAAAAAAATTTAGTTTTCTTTTATGCAGAAATTTTCGGTTTAAGTTTTTTAATGCAGTCATTATTACTATTGATTTCCACATAGTTTTTATAATCCGATATTTTTATTACAATATTATTTATTACAACAACTGAATCTCGAAATGAAAACACGTATTTAGTAGCCCTTTTCATCATCTGATTTGCATGGTTTCGTCGTCAATCTTTTTCTCTCTGGTAGTTACTGCTACGTATTTCACAATTTTTAAATTATTTCTTTAATGTGATAATGATTTACAAAATGTGAAAGAGAAAATAATTCGTGTGTTTTCCCCCTACAAAATGCGAGAACATCACCCATAATATTAGAATAAAAAAAATTGCATATTTAATTAAAAAATTATTTTATTTCATCCAAAAAAAATATTATTTTTTTTTTTGTTAAATTTTTGAAGCTTCTGTTACTTTAGTTTAGTAACATGTATATTTGTTATTTTTAAAAGTATCTTGCAGAAAGATATTATTATTGGAGGTATATCACAGAAAGTCGGAAAAAATTCTGCCACAGGGCCTGATGAACTTTAATGGTGACTGATAAACTTTAAATCTGTTGATTCTCAAAGTCCTCCATGTTCCCATCATACCATAACAAATCATACCTCTGGGGGTACTGATCCAGGAGTTTCCTTGTCTTCTTGTTTTGGTTCAAAATTACAAGGCTATGGAGTTGAACATTAGTAGTCGTAAACCGAAAATTGGTCGGCTGTATAAAATATTAAAAAAAGTAGGAGTGACTGAGGGAAAAGGGTTTACTCTTGTTTTTCGATAATTTTAACAAATTAATAATTTTCATATTTTATTTGTAAATTAGTAAAATATCTAAACATGAAAACATTCATTTGAAGTTCATTTTGTGTACTAATAGCAAAACTAATTTATATTTATTTAATTGTAAATTGCTTCGAGATTTTGATATTAGATTTAAAAATATAAAAATTAGTACACATATTACTATCAGAACATCCATCTTGTGTACTAAGGCATGATGTCAAAGTTCATCCTCACTGTTTATCATTTTTCAGTAAAAAAAATACAATTTTGTAGTTAATCCTGGTCCTAACTGTTATTACAAAAGTGCCTTGTTCAGCTTTTTTTCCTTATTAATTATAAAATTGCTTGTTGGAAAGACCTGTAGCAGAATTTTTTTGGACTTTTTAGCGACATACTTCCCTAGCACTAATATTTTCCTTAAAGATACTTTAACAATTACTAATTTAAAGTAACAGAGATGTTGTGTTTACAGAGAAAAGTATATAATAAAAAATATATAAAAAATTTTAATTGTAAATTTTTTTTTAAAATTCTAATATAGTAGCTGATTTTCTTGCATTTTGTAGGCGGGGAAAATGCACTAATTATTTCCTCTTTCAAATTTTGTAAATAATTACTCAAATTAAAATTTTTAAATGAATTAAACGATAATAAATTAAAATTCGTACATAAATTAAAAATCGTAAAATATGTGCTGTAACTCCCAAAATAAAGATCGATGACGAAATCACGTGAATAGGACTCTTTAAATAAGAGATACTCAAATAAGTGTATGTAAAACATGGTTTTCTTTTTATAAAAAAAGAAAAGAAAGAGCATTTCTTTTTGCGAATTATCTTTTAAACTTTTGCGATTTCTGAATTTTTTTATTTTATATTAATTTTAAAATCTCAAATGAGGATATGTCAAGATTGTTTCTTTCCTCTCTGATGGGTAAGCGACATCTTTGAACAAAAATTCCGCTGAAAAAGAAACATTTCTCAAAACATTATTCAGATCCGAAAACCAAAATTTTTTTCCTTTCCGAAATGAATAATCTTTCTGCAAAACCTCTGTAACGCTCTATGAGAATGTCGTCCCAATTCTGACACAGGGCCGGAAAATACCTACAAGTTTTAATCTCTGAATTCTTGATATTTTTTTTGTTTTTCCTCAAGTTCTAGCTGTCAAAACATACAAAAATGGATAAATTACTCTCCAAAAAAAGCAATTTTTCAGACATTTGTTTTTTGTTGTTGTATAGTTCATCTTAATCTGTCGTCAATAAATTAACTTTTGTTAGAACTTATAATGCATCCATTAATAAAAAAACATTTAGGATTTAAGTTGTATAGTTTTATGTTGATTTTGTGTTTGTTTTTGAATTTTTTTTTATCAATTTCGTAATTTGTTCATTTTTAACGTATAAAGACGCGACATAAAGTTTTGACTGTAAATGATCATTTAAATTTCCCCATTTAATTTTATTAACAAATTATTTTTAATATGCATTCAAATTTTGCACTATTTATTGTATTGCTTCAAAATGATTTATTAGTAAGAGATTTGCTTTTGCTTCTAAAATTACAAAACTTTTAATTTTACTTAAAAACATAGGTTTATAAATTGGAAAGCAAAGTTTTTATGCTTTATGAAAAAATCTGGAGAGTGAAAAACTCAAGGGATTCAAAATTAGCTCTGTGAAAATGAAAATTTTTACAGAAAACAGAGGAATTGTTATTTTTGGACTTATTATGAAAAAACGTTAAATTCTTTAAAACGTTAAATTATATAAATTCAAGAGCGGATTTTAGGAGTATTAATATGTAGGTGATTTTAATATTTAATGGAAACAGAAAGTATGTACGAATTGTTTTGTATTTATATTGATTATCTGACTTGAAGTTTAACGTGTTTTTAAGATTTTATTTCTTTTTTCCGTCTATTACTATTCTGTTTTCTCGGCTGATATATTGCATTGCAGTGTACCATTTTCTTTCATTAAGTTGTTGCTGCTCTAATTAATCATTAAAAACTTTTCGAGAAAATTTTTTCTAAAACTATTTCTAGAAATAAGGTATGAATCCTAAAAAAGCTGCCATAAATTTGCTCTAGAAAATTTTATAAAAATTGATTATAATAAAGCATTTTATTGATTAAATCTTCATAAGTTATATAGAAGAAAAACAAAAAATTAACTAAAACTTAAGAGAAAAAATATAGGATTTCTGAGAATTTGTTCCCATAGTTTTCTCTCCAGGTATAAGGTCGAAACTTTAGTTGCAGAAATAGCCTGCTTTTTATAATACAAAGTCTCATGTCCAGACATCCATTTACAGGAAAGGTCTCTTTTCCAGGCATTTTTTAACAACCAAAGCTCTTTTTCCCTTTTTCAAAAAAATTTTTTTTTACACTTGCGTTCTGTTTAAAAAAAAGTATTCAGGGATAATAATAACCTGCTTTTTCGCTTCTTTATGATTTTTAGAATTCCGATTTTTGTTAGATTTTAATTGTTTCCGCTATAATTTTTAAAAAAAATTGGATATCACAGGAACCAAATCTGGCATTTCACTACAGCACACACACAAAAAAAAATCTCTTATTTTTTTCCTCACAAATCTCTCATAGAAGGATTATTACCGTTTAGAATCAAGCACTCAATTTCAGAGAACATAAATTTTACATTTTGAAAAAATTGCAGGTTTGTTGAGATGAAATTGTCACAACTAAAGTAGGAATTCAAAATATTCATAAGCATGATTCGGAATTCACAGGTTGTAATAATATTAAAAATGAAATCAAAATTTTAAAAACTAATCTATGTGGAATTCCCAACCTGCTGAAAATGCAATTGACCAGATCACGTGAACAATAAAATTGTCGCAAATCATTGCTTCAAAAAGTGATTCTGCTAGTATTAAAAAACCCTGAAAATGCGTAGTAATAACTGATAAAATGCGCTCATAAATCCACGCGGGATTGCGAGTGAATGGTCAATAATTGAGTGCAAAGTGCAAGATTCGAAATTAGCCGAACAAAATATTGTAATAAAATTGTGCTGCGAAAATGCTGCAATCACTCACACCACATGGATTTATTTGTTGATTGAAATTGGCATTAATTATCTTCTATTTTTAATTGAATAAGGATATTTTAATGTTTACCTTAAACACCTATTATCTAGAAAAATCTATTTTCTGGACTTACCAAAGTCCAGATGATTTTGTGTATGGAACTTTCCGAAACTTTTACTACCTGTTAAAAGTTAATCAAATTTAGAATGTACAGAAATGGTGTACTTTTTTTTTAATAAAAAATTTAAATACCAACAGCAAACTTATGTTTTATTTTGTATAAATTATATGAAAATGCCCAGACTGTATGTTTTTGCCTTTATTTCTAAAGTTTTTATGTTTCTGTAATCGTAATTGACAGACTAATATTTTCTAGGTGTTTAAAGATAATGTAGTTGATATATTGTCAGGATTTTATTTCAAGTTTTGCAGTTTGGGTATTTATGCTTGCTTTTAATTTTTAGTTAAAGCAGGAGGTATGCGAATTACTCAGCATAAGGTTCATACCCATGAAAAACCGGTTGAAACAAAAAAAGTTGATGGTGAAGAAGAGGAGGAGGAAGAAGTTGTAACTCCTAGGTATGAATATTTCATATCATTTACATATTTAATTGCATTGTATTTCTCATCGATGCTTACCCACTTATGGAAAGGATTCAGAGCTTTTGATGTTACTTTCAGAAATGAATAAAAATCTCTAAAAATTTTCTGTAATAACTTCAAAGAGGTCTTTTTTTTCTTCTTCTCAGTTAAAATCTTTAATGGAATAATACCTGACTAAATATTTTTGATAAAATTGGGGAAACTTTTTTTGTTTCTTGTTGCATAAGATTTTTTAGAAGATCTCAGATACTTTTGTATTGCTGTTTTCAAATCGGCGATCTGTTTCTCTCACCAAGCTCTAGTTTTTTAAAATGGCATTTTTAGTCTTTTGTCTAACTAGATGTCTGCTAGGAGAGCTTCTCTATTATGAACTGTTTCTTTTTGTGCTACTGAGCAGGTGATATTAGAGAAGTGCCCCTAGCCGCGTACAATGACATTCCAAGTATAGGTTTCTATGCAGCTTTAATCCTGATGATGTGCCCTAACTCTCCCAGAAGTTTGTTGCAACATTTATGTGATCCTCCTGTTACATATAACGTTTTTAAACTTGTACATTTCGAAAAAAAATAGATTAAAGTATTTTTAAAAAAATCTGTAGCTTAGAAGCAATACTAATTTTAGATTTGAAATTCCCACTCCCGAATTAGGCAATATCAAGTATTTGCATGAATGCAACAATTTGTTCCCTAGTGTAATTTTTGTAAATTTTTTTATTAGAATTTAGGCATGTGTTTAGTAATTCTGATAAATTTCTACATAAATTTTTTAGATACCTTAATTAATCAGATTACTGGTTCAAGATTTAAACTTTTTTTTTCAGCATTAATGTTCAAGTGTTAAGGTTTCATAAGAGAAAACTACCCATCTATTTAAATTTTATGCTTGCTCAGAAAAATGTTGTAGATTACACTTGCCGGTTTTTATCTTTTGTGCATCTTTATGAATGGAGTCTGTAGTAAACATTGGATTTTTATCTCTGAAATGATATTATTAACCTGATAACTAAAATCACATTATCAGTGATAATCTCTTATTTTCTACCTTAACTGTCTTACTTAATAAATACTCAACTAGTTTTATATGTGTGATAATTTTGAAAGATGCATGTAACAAAATTAAAAGAAAAAAAAAATTAGGTTTTTGGTAATATTCTTGTGCCTTTCTTTTTTAAATCTTTAGACCTACAAATAAAATAATAAATCTTAAGTACCTTGTTCTAATTTAGTTCTTGGGTTTCTATAAATTGAATTGACTTATTCATTCAATAACTTTGTAATTTGAATGAATGTTGTTGCATTGTGATAAATTCCCGTAATGCATATACTAGGTATCAGATTTCAAGGGAAATAACTAGGGAGCTTCCTAGTTTCAACAATTCAAGTTGAAAAAACAATGTAAAATGAGGAATTGCTTGCATTTGGATTGCATGCTTGTTGTGTTGATTGGTCTGAGAAATTTATTTTCATAAAAGTATTTATTCCGGCAACTCTTCATTCTTGTGTGCTCATACCTTAATATGCTGAGTTACTTAAGTTTTCAAAAAGATTTTTATATTTCAAGATATTGTCTTTGTACATTAGCTTTAAAATGTAAGCAATTTGAGTCAAAAAAGCTCTGTGGGGTTGGGGGGGGGGTTACAATGAAATTTCATTGTGAAACTTAATTTTAAACAATGTACTACAGTAAGATACAAAAATGCTTTTGGTAATTTAAGTAATTGGTTGCTTTTTAAAAATGTAGTCTAGTTGGTCTGTTTTTTGCTTTGAATCTGGTTATTTTTTTTTATGTATATAAGATGGAGAAGCACTTTGATTACTTCACTCACACAAAGCTATTTATAGCTGTTACAAAACCCTTTGAAAACTTTTACTTATGACCTAACTTTGTCTGTTAAAATTTTTGAGTTCGTCGTTTGTTATTGCAAACCTTTTTTTTTTCTTTCCAAATTGAAGAATTAAGACATTTATAAAGTAACATTTATCATTAAAAAAAGGTGAGATTGTCAACTTCCTCATTAGAATCTTTTGTTTACTAATTATAATAAAATTGTACGACAATAATAATTAAGTTCTCATTGGAGTTTTAATAAAGCTATAATTTTTGTAAAACTTAATTTTAAAAATATTGGTTAGAAAGTTAAAATATATTTATTTTTACTATTAGTGTTAATATTAATTTTTAAAAACTATTTTAACATGTTTGTATATATATTTCAGTCCTCCTAAGCAGCAAATAGTGATTTCTGGAGCTATAGCTAAAGTAAGCATGAACAGTTTTTATGTTCCTCATTTGTCTTTGTTTATTACATTAAATGCTGTTTTGTTCTATGATTTCGTATATTATTATGGCCTTAATTGTGTAAAACGATTGCTTATACCTGTACTGCGTCTTAGAGATTCTTTGAGTTCATTCTTGAGTGATTTTCAACAGTTTAAAATACCTGGGACATTTTTTTTTTTAAAAAAGTTTTGCAGAAGGAAGTTACTTACTGGATTTTATTTATTTTGAAACTAAAACGAACTTATCTTTGGCATTGGAATATGTAAATGTTTCAAAAACTTTTGAATTTATTGTTGCTAAGTATTTTGTCAAGTGTCACTCATCATTTCTCTCAGTGAGGAACATGTTTAAAGCAAATATTAAGCCAAGAATTTATTTTCAAATTATTTTATTTTGCCTATATCTAATTAAGGATTTTAATGATTGCCAAATCATTGATCTGTAAGAATCATAAAATAAAAAGTTTTTTAACGTTTTTGTAAAAGCAAAATATTGACTGAAAGAATTAGGTTTAGAACAGAATATGTAAAAATAAAATTTATTATATTTTTTTAATATATCATAAAAATATCTAACTGTTGCTTCTGGATTGTTTGGAGACATAAATAACTCAAAATTGAAAATCTTATATAATTTTTTAAAACTTAGTAATTTCTGTTGAACAGTTTTTGTTTTTAAGAAATATTGCTCTCTGTTATAAATTTATTTCATTTGGAGTAATTAGAATTAGCATTTGGTTAAAACTTTATGTATGTTAATATTTTTAAAACAGTCTTAAAAATATTTCTTTCTACAAATTCCTGTGCTAGTTTTTTATTGAATTTTCCCTTTCCTCTGTTTCTTTTATTGCTTATATTTCATTTTTATTAATTTTTTTTGAACTGCATACCTTACTTACAGGTTGAGGTAACATAATAATTTAATTTGCTAAATTTAATTTAGTTTGCTAAAATGGTGTTATGACTGTAAATGACTTGAACAAGCCATTAACACAAATACAACTGAAAATTTTTCTTAAGTGTCCTATGGATTTTCATGATTGCAATTGCAGAACATTATGAATTTTTGCAATTTTTATGCATTTATTATCCAATTGTGAGGTTGCCAAACATTTTTAATAGTTGCAATTTCTTTTTTTTAAAGTAGAAGTTAAATTTTTATGAATATTTAGCTTACGGCTCATGTTAATTTCATCATAATTCTGTCTGGCAGGGTGTAAAGTATTCCATACTTCAGAAACTAATATTTTAACTCTAAACTGTTATGTAAACATTTTGCACAGTGAAACTTGTGATTAAAATTACCTGAATTTGGTTAATTCAAATAAAAATGCAACATTTGTGCAGATTCTTTCTTTGCTTTAAAACTAGACGAAATTTACAATATTTGAATAAAAATCTTTGAACCTAAACTAATAATAATAAAATCTCCTACGGTCACTGTCAACATTGGGTATTGATATTTTCATTCAATTTAAATTTTATAGAATCAAGGCTGAATTAAATCAACAATTCATACATATCAGGTTGTTCTAATATCCTAGAATGTTTTTTATTTTTTATCTAAACTAATCTACTTTACTGAATAAATGATACATTTAATGTAAATAACTATTTCAGATTTCAGTAAATTGAAATTTGGGTTTTTAGGTTATATATATGAAATAAAATGTTTCACTTGTGTAATATTAATGACTCAAATTTCCACTTGATTGTTTGGTTTAAGTGAGAATTCATGATATCGAACTTGGTTTCTTCCATCTTTCTTTCTATTCTAGTTTGAGCTAGACCTCACTTAGGTTGTAAACATTTACTTTAAACTAAAATAAGCCTTTTTTTTAAAGAGTTTTTTAAAAATGTTGAATACCAACTTTCGAACCGACTTAAGTAATACCCTTTTTTACCAAAGTAAGGGGACTAGCATTGAGGTGTTAAATCTTGGTAATGTAATACAACAGCTTGAGCCTTAATCTGATGTCTCTTGATAAAAAAAAATTTCCTGATTTGTTGATACTATTTTGATTGATTTATTTTTTGAAGGGTGATGCAGATTTTCCAGCAGAAGCTATTCAAGCATTCCACAACAAGCCAATGCCTGCACACGATTTTAGACCAGCTAATAGTAGGCCAAATATTATTCATCAGCCTAGGAAGTAGAATGTAAATCCTGCTGTACGATACAATGTTTGTTACACAATCTGTTAACTTCCATGTGTTGGCTGCTGCTTCAAAAGACCAATATTGTTTTTTTTTTTTTATTATTGGGAACATTTTTGTTATATTTTTATGAACTGTGTTGACAAAATCAGCTGTACTGTTGATGTATTAACAGATTAAAGAATTAAAGATTTTTTCAATTAAGTTTAATATAGTTCTTGGAGTCTTATCGCTTTTTCTTCTTTTTTTGAAATACTCAATGATTTTCGTGGAATAAATGGGAAAGAGAAAATCAAAAAAGTTTTGCATGTTTGTTCATTAATTATGATACTGATCTCAATAGTTTGTTTTGCAGGAGATTTGATATCTGATGTCACATAAAATGTTTAGTTTAAGAGCCAGTTTTTTTTTTATTTAAACTGACAAATTAGGTATTGTTGAAATTTTTAAGAAATATTCTTAAAGTAAAACTATTAGATTCTGAGATACGTGTTATTTTATTTTTGCAAAATGACGTGACTGAAGGTTATCTGGTATTTTTAGAAAAATACCTTGAAACTTTTCAGTTTTTGCAATTTTTAAGTCATAAAAAAGAAGATACATATTTTGCTAAAATACTTATTAGCTCTATGTTGGCACTATTAGACTTTTGTGGTCAAGAATCTAAGGAGAAAAATTTATTCTTAGAATTTTGAGTAACTGTAATGGGGCACAGTAGGCAAATGCCAACTGTGCACCATTACAGTTTTCTTAACCTTGGAATCCCCACAGTTTTGTCCTCAAGTATGCTTTGTACTCATTTTGAAGGCCTAAGTCAGGCTTGCCCGGTCCGATGATAGAACTCTGAACATGTTGCTCGGGAGAGCGAAGCACTATCATACAGTCACCACATATTACATTTCATAAATACATACAAATTTATTAGTATATTTGGTACAATTAGAAGTTATTTAATCAGGGTCTCAAACAACACACTGGGTGCGGCAACTCTCAACATTCTTAAATTTTTTTTTTATTGAAATAGAATACTAAACTCAGTGGCGCGACGGCCCATAGAGGGCCAAGGCCTACTGTGCCCATCTCAGTTTTCTTGACCTTGGGCTCTGGGGTGCAGCAGCAGATGTTCCGGTAAGGTGGTCAGCCGAACGCGGAACCCCCAGTGTTTAGTTCCCAAGCATGCTTGGTACTCATTTATCGACCCACTGAAGGGATGAAAGGCTGAGTCAACCTTGCCCGGCCCGAGGATCGAACCAGGGACCTGTGGCACGACAGCGCGAAGCGCTACCGCTCAGCCACCGGGCGTCGAAATAGAATACTGCATTGCGATAAATCAGTGATAATTGAATTGTAAAATTTCTATCTTAAAATTATCTAAGTGTTTCAAAATACCTCTTCCTACAGTTTTTCTCTGGCTTACACTATTGCTGATGCAAAATAAAATTGCAGTTGTCAAAATTGAAATATAATAGACAGAATTAACAAAATAAGTTTAGGATTTTATTCATCTGATTTTATTATATTATAAAAACTAAAAACAATGTAACAGGATATATAAGGATGTTTTAATGTGATAATTTGCGGTTAGAAACATTTCATAAGAGAAAAATCTGTTCACCTTGGTTTAGAGTTGCTAATGTATCATTAGATAACATAATATTTTGTAATTATTTTAAGTTGAAAGTTATTACATAGCTACTGGTAACACAAGGCATAGAAATGCTGCAAGGCTAAAGTACTAAAAAAACATATAGAGAGTAAATTTTTTTACAATGAAAAACTACTGCAATGAGTCGTATACAGAGATAATTATAAAACAAGTTATTTAAAATAAATTTATTATGTACAAATCAAAATGATACAATGTTATTACCGAGTTGTCATTTTTTCCGTCTTTTCTGAGTTTGTTTTCTCCAAGCTGTAATATAATTAAAAAAAATATTAAATTCTCAAATTAAATAAAGTATAATATAGTTAAGTAATGAATAGTAAAAATTCAACTTCATAAAATGTATGTTTAAATACATAATAAGAAGAATTAATTATTTAATATGAATATATTAAATGTTAGCCCTGATTCATTTTAACAAAAGAGTATATCAACTAAATCACAATATAATAAGCATGCTATTATAATAACAATGTTTAGTTAGATAATGTTATTAGTTCTGCAATGCAATGAATCGAATGACGGTATAAACAATATTGTATTTTTAAATTTGCATTAAGATGTCTGTAATGCAAATTTCACACATGAAGTAAAATATTATATACTGCTACAAATTAACTACATGACATTAAAATACAAAACTATTCAAAGTAAATTCTATTATTATACAATAATTCTTCAAAACAAATTGAAAATATTTTGAGAAATAAAAAATTTCAATATGATCTTCATAAGGACAAACTTTCACATTTCTGTAAAAACACATCTATGAGGCATTGTCAACAAAATGTACATTTTTAGGCAGAGTTAGTCGATTTAAATCGCCGATTTAAAATTTTTTATTTTGAAGAGAAATCATCAATTTAAACATTACAAAATATTTTAATATGAGATTATTATTAGATTTTTTTATTGATCTTCATAGTTTTCAAGTTTATTGTAAGTATTTTGCTATCAGGGGTCTGTCCAGGCATTTTGTGAAAGGTCCTGTTTTTGAAAAATTGGGAAAAATCTACCCATAATTTGTGAATCTAAAAGTAATGTTAAGTCACATTCTTTCAACCAGGGTCCTGCTTTGGTGAATTTGTACAAATAGGATCCTGTCATTGCAAAAAACTCTTTCAAGGAGTTTTTAAATTATAAATAGATACAAGATTATACTCAACACTGTAAAATTGTAATAAAAAAAAGTACATTTTCAAAAAGAAATGCTAATTGCTGCCACTAAATTAGAGATGCAACATACAAATATTCTATATTTAGCCTATACTACTCAAATGATGAATGTTTGACGAATATTGAAAACAAAATCACTTAAATTTTTAAAAATTCCAATTGATATACTTAAAAAAAACACAGCTTATGGATCACTTTTAATGTGTTACATATTAAGTAAATTTATAAAATTTTATTTAAAAAAATTGGTATGAAATAGTTTTTATTAAAAAATATTCTATGAATAAATATAAATTATTTATTTACTAAAAGAAAACAAAAAATATCACTTACTAAAATGTACAATAAAATATTAATAAAAATGTAAAAAAACGGATCTTCCTCTTCCTAAATAATTTTAGATTGGATCTTTAGGTTTTAGGACTCAGACTTAATGGCTTGAGGAGGTGAACTCGAATATGCAATTAATAAGTGCAGACTATATTTTGAGATAAGTCAAACACAAAAAAGGAACTTCTGAATAAACATACCTTTCTTTCTACAGTTTCGGATTTCTGACTCCCCCCCCCCACCACCAAAAATAACCCTACAGTAAATTCAATTTCTCAGGAACTATTCAACCGATTTTGATCAAATGTTGTATACCATGTAAAAAAATTTTTTTATGATGCAAAATCTTTTTATTTTAAAATTTTTTTAATGTGTAATAAATTGCAGCACTTGTGTTATGACATTTATGACATTTTAAATAATTATTTTGGATTTTTTACAATGTAAGAACACAGTAAAAATTTATGCATTTTTTTAAAAATGTGCTTAGACAAATTTAAAAACTAGTCATTGTTTTGGATTTTTGTAGCAAAGAACATGAAAATATTTTCAATAAGTCCCTTTTGTGACCAAACACTCTCTTAAAAAAATGTGTAAGCTTGCACTTAGAGAACAAGTTAGAAACATCTATTTTATAATGTAAATTGCAAAAGGAAAGGGTTTATAAAGTGACTGAAAATATTCAGATGTCTAGAAAGTTTATGCAAATTTTTAAGAAAAATTGAAACATAGCATATTTAAATTATGTAAAATATTTATAAAATTATATGTATGACAATATATTCCGCAATCTTTATCAGGTAAACAGAATATTAATGTTTGGAAATTTGAGGGCACAAGGTCTAGTGAATATATTGAATGTAATAGAACATCCAACAGAACTGAAATGAGTTATCAGAGATACACAAATATTTATTTATCTTTTCTTAATGAGCATGATCCTTTCTAATTAATTTTCATCCTTTGGGTTTAATTCATCGAATTTGAAACAATTTGAATTCTGTTTTTTGGAATATGAAGGCATGTCATTTGCCTTCAACCATTCTGATATATTTAGACCTGTCTATATGATACCTGTAAATAGAAACTAACGGTAAATAGACAATAACGTCAGATCCGAATATAAAAGCATTATGTTATACACATAAATATTTAGAAAATTCCTCGCTTTAAAGAATCAAAATTGATTTTTTAAACTTTTAACACTTTGAATATATCAATTCAATTTGTTTATTTACAATTAACAGCATATACGAGTTGTCTTTTTTATGGTGAAAACTCACAAAATCTTTTTATTTTAAAATTTTAAGTTTGAAAATATACCTCAAAACATGTAAGTCAGAGACTCTACTGAATTTATTTAAATTGCGTTAAATGTACGCATACATATGGACTTAAGTTTATACAAGCCACACAAGCATAAATTTTACATACAGATTACAATGCATTAAACATATTAGCATATGTAAGAGTGGATCAGAGTACATAAATATATTTAAATGATACAATAAGTTCAGATTGTAAAAAACTCCATGAAATTAACCAGCCCAAGACAAGATATTTTCGTGTATTGTATTGTTACCAAGTAAAAATTTCAGAAGCTTGTACACTATCTATCTGAAAATAATACTGAAAAACAGCTTGATGTAAAACTGTCGCCATAATGGCAAACGCATTTAAAATAAATCTAATGATCTTGAAAAAAAAATTGATAGGTGGCATTTTTTAAAAAAAAATTCTTGATCACAGTTACTAATAAAATTCATGTTATTAAAACAATAAGTTTTGATAGAAATCACAGAACAGAAAGAATCAGTAAATTATTAAAAATGTCTTACTTTCTTGTTCAGACTCTGATTCGGATGAAGAAGATGACGAGCTACTGGAAGATGATGAGGATGAAGACGATGAATTTTCTTCTACAGATGATTCATTATCATTTTGGGGAGGCAGAACAGGATTTTTAGGTAAATTTTTAAGGTGTTCACGAAGTTCATCACTAATAATGGAAACAAAACAGAAAAAAATTAATTATAAAATAAAATTCATTGACTTGCCCAGAAAAATTCAAACAAAATTCTATGTCACATATTCATTATAGACATCAAATTTTCATAAAAAAGCATTTAAGATTTGATATCGCAATGCTTCACAATTTATTATTCAATGTGAAAAAAAAGTGTTCTACAAATAAAAACAAATATCAAAAATTAGAATACTATTATATTATATCAACCCATGTATTTAGATGTATAAATGACAGATAATTGACATGAGAAATAAGAAAAGTTGAATTTATTTTACTTGACTTTATCGCAAAGAAAAAAAATTAATGTATCTTTTAAAAAGTTACATTAACAATAAAGCCAGCCATCATACACCTTATATACAGTTAAGTTAAAACGTAGTTAACAGAGACAGGATCGATTATTTGGGAACTATACAAGTAGCATTATCAGTGCAACAACACGGAATAAAGAGAAAATATTAAAAATGCTATCAGATTAATCAATTTACAAGTGAAATTAATTAAATGAAAACTGACAACCAATAAAAGGGAAATAACGATGTGCAATGTGGGGGCTAAGGACCTGGCAGGATGCGTAGCCAAATCTTTCCACAAAAAATAAGCACCTTTTAAGCCAGGGGTTGCCAAACTTTTTTGATCATCGACCCCTGTATAATTTTTCGAAATCTCCATCGACCCCTACAAACGTAATTTTCTGTTAATTAAAATAAAACTCTATTAGATACAGTGTTTGTACANCTTTAGAAACTGATAGTAAGTCAGTTATAAAAAAAATTCACAAATTTTACATACTTAATTAGGTATGTGTGATTTGCGTGTTGAGAACTGTTTTTTTTTAAACCCACAATCGACCCTTCCGATTTGGATCGACCCCCATTCGCACCCCTGTCTCAGATCGACCCCCGCTTTCGTTAAATAGACCCCTGGGGGTCTATATAGACCACTTTGGCGACCTCTGTTTTAAGCACTCAAAAAATATTTTTAAGCACTATATACATGAAAAAAATAATTTTTAGAGACTTTACATGATCATGATAAAATAACTAGTTTCTGACCAAGAACTTTTTTCTTGATTATATTAGCCATTACAAAATGATCAAGAGATTTTTTGCTTGAATTTCAGATCTTAATATCTTGCAAAATGCAGCAGAGTTGAAAAATATCTTAAGTTGTTGACGGATCATGGGTTACAATTCCCTAGCTGTCAGGCAAACTATGGGAGATTTTCCTTTCCATGCAAGGTAAAGGCAGATTAATTCCATCAAAAAGTCTTCACAGAAAGCTAGTTTGTCCCAATGCTTAATCTAGGAGTTCTCTGGCCTTCTGGCTAAGGTTAAAAATTACAAGGCTACAGAGTTGAACATTGATAGTCATAAACTCAGAATCTGGTGCGCTGTTAAACGCCGGTTATAAAATAAATAAAATATATTATAATTAGAAATTTTTTCTTTGAAGTCATTTTTTGAAACTGAACCTTGCTCGATGGCTATAAAATTTCAAACTACAGTACAGAACCCGTTATCCGGAAATCAGAAAACCAAAAAACCGGAACGAAATTCGATACATTTTTCCGCCATATTTTCAAAAAATAATTTTTTTTCCTCATAAGATTTTAGGATTTCTCTTTCTTTTTTGAAAGATGTTTACCTTAGCATCATTTTGGAAATAATCATTAGTGTATTATTTCATCATTTTTTTTAGTTGGGTTCAACAATAAAAAAACGGCTTTTTATAGCGTTTCAGAAAACCGGAAAAATCAGTTATCCGGAATAGCGATGATCACGATCGTTCCGGATAATCAGTTCCCTACTGTATATTAAATCTGAGATAACTTGTCTCACTAAATCTGAAATAACTGAGCTTAAACTGAAACATGTATCTCACACAATAAAAACTTACCTTAAAATAAAAATTGCAAAAACTTTATAAGATTAAGTAATTTTAGAAAAAAAAAAACTTTTTAAAGAGTAATTAAATAAAAACTTACGTTAGACCTCCCAATCCAATGGAAGTAAAGAAGTTAATAGCAAATCTTGTATTATGAGGGTGATCTCGAGGAAAGAGTCCATCAAAAGCTTCTTGAAGTGTTCTGTTTATAAAATATAAACAAAAACATTAATTCACACAACAGTAAAATGAAACATTAATTGTTTAGTTGTTATTGTATACAGAATTCCAAAAGTTACAGTTTTTTGAAGCTCATATTTTCGTAACTTAGAGTATAAGAGACATGAGTTTTGTAGATGAAGTTGAGGAAATGAAATTTATTCAGATTGCAAATAATTACACACCAAGCTAACTTTAAGCAATGAAAGAAAATTTTATGAAAAAATATAAACATAAAAAAGAATAAGAGAAAAAAATTAAAAGCGCAAAATTTACGTAAAATATCATATAGTTTGTCTAAAATCAAAACTCCTCAGACATTTGTCTGGACTGGTGGCGGTGACTATGGTAATGAGGTATGACTATTTCAAGTAGGGGTGTGCGGGGTCACTGTTTTTGAGTGGTTTTGACTGGGATCGGCGAGAGAAAGGCAATCTCTTTCTTTGGTTTATTGTGTTAGTTCTAGAGTGAAGCTACCTTCCCTAAAATGCACCATTCTTGTTTCCATAGCACCAGATAGCCTCAGACTTTGTGGCGACAGGATTTCTTAACTTTGACAAACTATACATATACAGGATGTAAACAAAATTTGGAAACAGCCAAACATCTCGAGAAATATATATGAGATAGAAAAAAGTGAAAATAGTCACATTAAATAATTTTTAAAAGCTATTCAATGATACCAAACTGGATCTCGCACTCCCACCCCAAGGAAGTGAGATGGGGGCAACTTTGTAATTTTAAATATGAATTTCTATTTTTTTTATTGCACAATTGGATTCTCCAGAAAAAATCAGATCAGTCTTCTCTGTAATCAGATCAGACCCATCAAATTGAAAAAAGAAAAATGAATAAAATTAAAAATATTTTTTTCCAGATAATAAAAAATTAATACAAAAAATTTAAGCGTGTTTATTTTTATCTTCTTAATTTAATAGTTCTCGATTACAGCACTATCAAAATGCATAAAAATCTACAGCTCAAATAGGGTTACTTTTTTCTGGAGAATCCGAATTTGTAATAGTAGTGGTTCATAATTAAGATTTCAAAGCCATCCCCTGCCTCACCTTGAAGAGGTGGGGTGAAAGAGTGAGTTTGCTACAATTGGATAGCTTTTAAAAAAATATTAAATGTCTTCATCATTTCACCTTTTGTATATTTCTAGATATTATGTATTATATTCTAGATATTTGACAGTTTCCAAATCATTTGTACACTCTGATAATTAGACTTAGATAATTGATTGACTCTGCTAACTGAACTTAATAATTAGACTTAGTTATTCCAAACCTGAATGACGTTCAAGAAAGTTGCAACTCAATACTTGAACCTTATTTCAAAGTAAAATAAAGATAAATATTAAAAAATTTAATAAGAAATCATAAAGTAACTTAATATGCATTTTAACACGAAATCACATTTACCTAAACCTATTTTTTACCAGTTGCTTTTAAATATAATAGTAAATACAAATATCAACATATTATTTCGAATTGCTTTACAACACAATAATTTTTCAGTGCAAAAATAAACCAAAATAATAATAATAATGAGAAAGAAAAAGTGTGGAATATTGAAGATGTGTAGTAATATGATGCATATTCTAAACAATAAAATTTGTTGATGATGCAAATGGCTTCAAATTATTTTTCAGCATTTATTTAAAAGCTTTTCAAGAGCAGTGTTAGAATTTTTTTTTAATGAAAAGTGAGGGAGCAATAAATATAAGTTTTACCTTAATTATAAGAAAATTGTTAATGATTTCTTGATTAATAAATAATAATCAACAAAATGCAGTTATCAAGTAAAAATTCCAAGCAACAGCTTTTTCTTAAATTGCAGTTTAATTAATTTTAATGCGAAATATAAAAAGATGAACTTACGCATCTTTCACTCGTTCATTTAGCTTTGGCAATCCCATATATTCGCAAAGTTCTTGGAAGAGAATTTTAATAAAAATTCTACTAGATGAGGTAGTATCTTCCTCATTCAATTTAATAATCTTTAATACCTAGAAAACCAACTTTATTAGACAGTTGTTCAATATATCAGAAAGTATTTAATTTATTAGCAGAAATAAAAATCTTAAATTATTAACATATATAAAAAAAGGTACCTAAAACTGATATATTTTACTCAGATATGTTCAAATAAACTAGGGCCAGGTGGAAGTAAATTAAGGTGTTTAATTTATTTTAATGAAACGTTTGAGGCATTTTAATACCTTGGATTCTATACAGAGTATCTGCTACATTATAGATTTTCAAATCTATGACTTTTCATGACTAATTCCAAGAATTATTCTCCAACAAAAACAACAATAAGTTTAAAAAAACAGAGTAAAGAAAGAGTTGAAGCAATAAAATAGCTGAAAAAATATGAAAGCAAATTTTTCTTTTTTTTCCTGTAGAATTATATTCTAAAGATACTTTTCTTGTTCATAGGAAAGGAAAGAAATACTCCTGATTTTTTTGTTCTCATTTCGGAATAAAAAAAGTTCGCCAATGACAGGCTTGCTTCAGCTACAAGTTCAAATTGATAAAAATAATAACAATAAATATTCTGAAATCACAGTTTAAAAGATAATTCGCTTTTAAAACATCATATTTTAATAAAATATGACTGTGAGTAGGGATTTTGTTAGAAATTCAGATATTCGGAACACCATGAAATTGGGGGTTGGATTCCAATTTAAAAATTAGATTTTTCAGCGACCTAAATTCAAGACTTTCCATCACAAATTTTGTTCAATACCGAAATTCATGACTCTTCAGGTGCGCAGATACCCCGTCTATGGATTGAGCATGAAACATAACCATTCGATTTAGTTGGATTGTTTCCTCACAGTGATACATTTAAAAATCATATTTTAATTCCCTCACTTTAACTTCTGCTGGGAAAATATAATATGAATTTAAATAAAAATAGGTAAATACAGTATTAAATAAAGAATCCAAAGAAACTGAAGCAGAAATATATACTTGATTAAAAACTACAAAGGCTTCAATTAATGAGGAGATGTAAATAAAAGTTGATACAAAAATAGGGGATTTGAAGCATAAACTTATAGTGACACACACACAAAAAAAAGATTCAAAAAGTAAACTTTACATTCAAAGCTAAATTTATTATGACATTTATTTATTTTTACTGAATCTATATTCCACATTTTCCTTTAACTTGTGCAATATTCTTTTAATTTACAGAAGGATCTTAAGAAATTGGCGTATTTGTTTGATTTGCAAAATTTCCGACTAAATATACAAAGTGGTTTGATGGTTCGTAACTATTATTATTTTTTTAAGCATCTAATATTTTCTTCCTTAAAGCTCATCAATTATAAAATGCTAAGTTCTTTCTGCCATCTATAGTAAATATGTTTAACTTGTTGAATGATTAAATGAGCGATGATTGTTCCAATTGAATGATAAGCATTCCATAAATTTTCTGAACTTATAAATAATTTTCATTTCGTTTCCTTTATAATTGCTCTGCTCACAATTCTTCATGTTCCCTGCTCACTTACCATGCAATTTTCTCAAGAATGTGCAATCCATATCAGTAATTTTTCTCTTTTGTTAGTAGCAAATATAATGAGATTTCTTATTTAAAAGTTACAAATCTTTCAAAATTAAAACGAAAAAAATCAATTGTGAGAAAATCATTAACAATTGAAAACACTGAAAAATTCTAAGTAATAATACGTTGATTTTTATTTTATTTTTAACAGTACTTACCATCCATGATATTGCATCTGTGTACAGCAAATGTGCAAAAAACTTGGCAACATTTCTCAGTTTATTTGTTTCTAGTCGATGAATGGTTTTGTATGAATTTTCAAAAATTTCAGTAAATGGCTCCACATAAACTTTACTTAGCTGGCAAAATCTCTAGAATAAAAAGGAAAAAAAACATTTATTTAGCATAAACGTAATCTTTATTTCTACTCATTATTATCTAAAAGCATAATAAAGATTTACTTGTGCTAGTAATCCATAAAATTTCTCGTATGTTCGCTGCTGTGCACAGCAATCTAGAATCATGTAACACATTTCCAACTAAAAAAGAATAAAATATGGTAGATATTACATTAGAGAAACTGAATCATCAACTGAATTTACAATGCTGCTTTAAGTTATTTAAGAAAATTGAATATTTTAAAAGTAGGCTTTATTTGTCCTTTAACCCTTTTGCAACAGGAAGCGCAAACACACGCTTATCACTGAGGCCGGCAGTCTCTCTCGCGAGTGTCTGCCCAGGGATGGAGGGTTTTTGCTGCTAAGCCTAAATCCATGAATTTACCGAAATATCAACGCGCTGTTTAATAATGTTCTTTAGAGTATTTAAATGGCATATGCTTTATATATATTTCTATAGATACTTTATTTACTTAAGTTATTTCTTGTTTAAATATATATTTTACNAACCAAGGACCTGTGGCACGACAGCGCGAAACGCTACCGCTCAGCCACCGGGCGTCAACATTATATATATGAAAACTAAATATATGACTCAAAATTCTTTTTTCCTATGAAAAATTTGAAAACACTAACATTCCAAAAAAAATTGGACCGCAAATCAAAATACCCAACGCTGTAGCGAAAAAACAAAACAAAAAACAAACATTTCCTGCTTACTGTAAACAAATACCACGTGCGAATTTAAAGAGCAGTCAAAAAGCATGCCATTCGAAAACATTCGTTTCCCCGTCATTCCTTCCCCCTACAAACCACGTGTATGTGAGTCATGCTACTCTAATTGTGAGTAGAAGGTCAAATCTACATGTATCTGAAACCATATGGACATACAATGCCATCTTCTGGCAAAAATATAATTTCTAAAAACGTTCCAGGACACTGGCACTAATGGGCGACGGGCGGGGGTGAACGAGAAAACACTCTTCCATGCCGGTGTGTCGGTCGAGAAGTGAGTGTGTTTCTTGCTGGTACGTACAGATGACAGTCGCCGCGAAAGGGTTAAATTAAATATTATGTTTGTACATAACACAAAGATATTACACACATTATATATTGAAAAATAAATAGTTCACACAAATTTTCTGCATTAGAAAGATAAAGGAAAGGAGATTGAAAAAAAGTGTGTGAAGCAATTTTTTTTAACTAGACATATTTTTGTTTAAATGCTGTTTCCATGAAAGGAAAATATCAAATTTATTGCTATATAAAAATTTACATTAAGTTTTTCAAGCTTACAACAAGGGGATTGACATGTCACATCAATTACAGATTAACAGGTCAGCAAGCATAGCATTTGAAAAGTGTTCAAATATTCTTAGAATAATGGAATGTTAGCAACATGAATGTTTAATTAAAGTTTGAGCTATTAATGTACGATTACACAAAAAAATAATGAAAAATCGCATATCATATTGCAGATATTTCAAGGAAATTATATGGATTTTAATAATACTCACTATTTGACCTGGCTTTAATTCCAGTTTTAAAAGTTTGTGGGCACATTCTTCAAAATCTAAACTGGACTGAACAGTTAAATAAATTTTCCTTCTCAAGCAGACTAAGTTAGTTTCAGTCATGTCGATAATCTGTTGACTTTCATCATCTGAAAAAGTACAACTTATTAGTATTAACACATATTCCGTAACATTCAAATGCATTTTGGCAGTTTAACCAACATTTTAATAAAAGAAAAAAGAAGACTAAGAAAAAGGAAGTAAGAAAGCCATTATCCAAGCTATTTTAAGCCATTAAATAGCTAAAAGACTAGTAGAATCCTTTGTTATAAAATTGAGTTTCATTAAATGCAGTGCTTAAAAACCATAAATAGTAAAATTTATGTTATAACCTATGCAGGTTTCAGTGTTCCATTCAACATAGGCTATGTAAAACTAAAGAGATATGTAACTAGATATATTTATCTCATTAGATATTTATATTGTTTTGCTTGTAGATATTTATATTGCTTCTATTGTTTTGATATTTACATAGATATTCTTAAGATCAACATAGATATTTTTTAAATACTTACAATAAAGAGATATAATCTCTTTAGTGTGACATAACCTTCGTTGAATTACATCATCCTGTTTTGCCACCCCAGTAATTTATCAAACTGATAAAGAATTACTAATGTGACATGTAAGGGATAGCACAAGAGGGATGTTGTAATTCAACATAGATTGTGTAACGCTAAAGAGATAACTAGATATTTATCTCATTAGATATTTACATATTTATTGTTTTGATATCTACATAGATATTCTTAAGAGATCTAAGATATTCTTTAAATACTGTGAGTCCCATTGATACACCTTTGTCAGCAGGATAAATGACAAAGATAGCACAACAGGGATGTTGTAATTTAGCACAGGCTATGTAGCACTAAGAAGATAACTAGACATTTAATCTTAGAAATTTACATAGATATTTTCAGTAAAGAGATATAAACCCTTTAGTGTGACATAACCTTTGTTGAATTATATCATTCCCGTTTTCCCATTTCACTGATTGATATACTACAGATGAAGATATACTAATGTGATATGATGTCTAATGGTTCCAATAAATATTTTACTATTTGCGAAATTTAAGTTTGTAATTAAATTTAAAATTTCTTAATTCTCTCCAAAAAATAAGTTAACATATATCTCATCAATAAATAATTAAATTTATAATTCATCTAATACTTTCAACAATATATCCATTAAAATCTTATTCTCAATTAACATATTTCAGTAAAATAATAATTTTATAAACAATTCTTAGTAATTTTCGAATACAATTACATAAGTATTTAACACTGTTGAAGATTAAGGTTAAAAAGTTTATAGCAATTCTACTATAATAAATATCTGTAAAATATCTTATAGCCAACTTTCTTTAAAATTCTAAAATTATGTTAGAGAATAATAATTTTGAATAATAAACAGATTATGAATTTCTTACTCAATTTTGGCAGAGTATTTCGTAACTTATCATTTCTAACCTTTATAATTCAATATAGGATAGATGCACACTATTAGTTGCCCTGAATTTCACGATATCTTTCTATTCTTTCCTCTTTTTTTTTACAAATTTACCTTTAACCTAAATTAAATAAATCTTTGGATTTCTAAAAGCAAAGAAAACAATAGTCTATTCTTCATAAAGCATATTAAATTCTTTTTTATACATGAAAGATTTAATTATTGGTATTATCTGTCTTATTTTAAGAATAATTTTATCCCAACTTTCTGTTTTTAATAACTATCAATAGCTGATGAAACACTTCAGGTTTTATAAGCATGTTTTCGTTTTGCACTATTCAAATTAAATGTTCTGCCTTTTAAGAGGATAAATGTGACATTTTCTTTAATTATTTTTTTCAAAAAATCCTTCTTCATAAAAATAAATACAAGTATCATACTTAACAAAGTTTACTTTTATGACTGTATATTTAAACAATGCAACATTAGAATGCCTTTTTATCATATAAAAAAATTATTTTATCAATACAAACTGCCTCAGTGTACGTAGCCAGATTTTTCAACAAAAAATAAGCACCTTTTAAGCACTCAAAAAACATTTTTAATCACTTTCCAAAAAAAAATCATAATTAGGATCTGCACAGTAATAAAAATTACTGCATTCCATCGTTTAAAGTTCTTAAATTATAAGCATAAAATCAATAAAATTATAAAACGTTTTCAAAAACTCTACATAATCTTGATAAAATAATTAGTTTCTGTTAAATATTGCAGAGAAATTTTGAAAATCCTGCCTTTTTTTGTAATTCAGAACAACAATCAATACGGCAAAGAAAAAATCTCTACTTAAAAGATAGAAAATTAAGCAATTTTTACAAACCCAGAATAAAATAAGCACCTTTAAGCACTTTTTAAAAACGCTTTGCACTCTCTGCTTCAGTGAAAGACTTAAACAAAAAGCAGTAGAGTGGAAATTCTCAAGACCGATTGGGACCAATGTTGGATTTGGCTATCTTTAGATTCTTAAATATTTGATATGATATCTTTTTTTTTTATTTATTTCAATGCGAGTAAAGACAGCTTTAAATAAAACAAAACTTTACAAACTTCATTAAAAATATATTACTTTTCTCTTCATCATCCTCTTCTTCATCATCGCTACCAGAATCATTGCCAGATCCATCTTCTTCACTTTCATCACCAAGAATTTCTAAAAAAATATATCACAGACCATTATTTTAATTGATTCAACAAAACTTATACATCAAAAACAAGGATTGTGTATAATAAGAAAAATTTAAATACCTTTCACAACAGATTTATACTTTTCTTCATTTTCAATATAATCTGGATCAAATTTGAATATATCTAAGATAGAAAAAAAAATATTATAAATGAGTGAAATAGTGGAAAAAAGTAAATATTTATATAGTTGATTACACAATGCTTTATTGTATAAATAGATCATAATTATGCATAACTTTAATGAATGCGAGACGGGAATTTGAAATTAGAATTATGTGTGGCCAGATTGTTTTAAAGGACAATTTTTGCAGCAACACTGTGTTATTACAATACATTTAATGCTTTGCATTAATATAAGATTTTTGCTTTAAGGGGTTAGGTCCATCTAAGATTTTAAATATTATCAGGCTAGACTAAGATTTTAGATTTTTTTCTTACTAAAGGCACACTTAAAAATGCATACATTGTATGTTATGTAGGAACAAAATAACAAGCACAAATGTATCAGTTTGTAAGACAATTGATGAATTGCAAGTACAATCTCTTTCAGTCTGTGTACTTGTTAAAATAACTAACATGGCTGTTTGCCTTTATTTGTGCTTAATGCATTATCAAAGCTGGTTTCTTTTTTAAAATTATTTATTAGCAAAGAAAGTTCTACCATCTTAGGATATTAATATAGACTTAGTTTCACTATTTAAATAGCATAAGTTTAGAGTTCAAACACTTTTGACCATGAAATGTGAGAGCATATACTTACTATTTCTGACAGTTTTTAAACTATAGAGCTCTACTTGGTTTGGTTATTAGTATAAACTAAGTTTGGCAATTACAACTGTGAGAAACATTAAATGAAAACTTTTTTTTATAATTAAATTTGCTCTTACTTAACATTTCTTGTGCATCAACAGCATCGTCTAAGTTAATTAAATGAGTATATTTATCATCTTCTTCAACTAAATCCAGTTCTGGTGGCATGATTTCAAAATCCTTGGGAAAAAAAATTCATATTACATTCATGATTACAAAGTGATTACGTTGACTGCCGTTTACGTTGATGATTACGTTAAATGCCGCACGCATTTACAGTGGAATTGCTTTCAGGCCACAAGCACTGCTGTACAAAGCGTATTTTGCTAAGTACTCCTACCAATATTTTAATAATGCGAGTCTCTGGTGGTCATAAGAATATTATCTCACTCTGTTTGTTTCCATGGCATACTTGCCAACATTGGAGAAATAAAATACCCGAGATTTTACTTAATGACCCAATTTTAGGTTCATGACTACTGATGTTCAACTCGTAGCCTTGTAATTTCGAACCCGATTCATCAGACAAGATAACTCCTGGATCAAGTATTGGGAGAAATTTGCCTTCGTGGAGGACTTTTTTTTTATGGAACTAACCTACATTTGAGTTACGTGGTGAGGAAGACCTCCCACGGTTAGCCTGACAACTAGGGGACTCTAACCTGTGATCCGTCTGTCACTGAAGATATTTCACACCAGCAGTGTGGTCGGTGCAAGTCGGATGCGAAATTCATATTGATTAGTCATCGCTGGGATTTGAACCTGGGTTCATCTCATTGGAAGGCAAATGCTGTATCCCCTGAGCCATCATGGCTCAACTTAAACTATTAACGCTCAACATATGGCAGTACTGGCAATAGCACCATCTGTTGGGGAATAAGAGAAGTATTTTTGCCATCAGTGGATATTTCATCACCATTTTTTTAAAAAAATTTCTTCATTAAATACAGAGAAATTTGAGAATATACAGGTAAACAGGAGATAGGGAATAAAATCCGGGAGTCTTCGTTAAAAAACAGGAGACTTGGCAGGTATGCCATGGTATCATGTCTGTTTATTTGTGTCCGCCAGTTTCTCATCCCGCCACTTTACACGATCAGTTTGAATATTTTCCGAGTAAAGAGGAGTATAACTTAAAATCTTTACCTTAATTCATTAAAATTTCGAAAACAAAAATGGAAATCCTATCTTTTAGTGACTCAAATAGCAGTGAACAGGAGGCTCACAATAATTTTCTTCATAAATTATTTTTGTATCACTTTTAAAACAACTCAACAGTTTTGTTAATTCCTGTAAAATATCTTCTCAAATACATATGAATATCCTTAGCAAATAGTCAAATAAGCGGCATTCCAATACGGGTAACACAGCTTGATCAGAAACTTAGCCGTCACTCGAATATAGGTGACGTGGCAGCCAAAGGTTAAAATTTAGAATAATTAAAATTTTAAATTCTAAGATTTAAAATGTTTTGTTATTGATAGGGTATTATCAAATTTTGACAAATTTTAACCACTAGTACAAGGTAACACAAGATAATAAGAAAGTCAAATTTTTTCTATGTGCATGAAAATATACGTATGTATTTAAGGAAGAAAAAATACACAAAGAGATCTCTTTTTGACTACTAACAGATATGCTTGCTAAATACAAGGTGGCATGAATAAATATATATATGACTCAATTTACAACTTGAATAAATTTTTTGAAAAAGAAACATGTTAAATTTTAAAAAAATAAGTTGTGGTGAAAGTTACTTTTAACAATTAGAAATGAAATTTCTTAACTAAAATTTTCTTATCTTTTGAGATATAAACCTAAAAAAATAACAAAGNGCGGCTCACAATAATTTTCTTCATAAATTATTTTTGTATTACTTTTAAAACAACTCAACAGTTTTGTTAATTCTTGTGAAATATCCTCTCAAATACATATGAATATCCTTAGCAAGTAGTCAAATAAGCGGCACCCCAATACGGGTAACACGGCTTGATCAGAAACTTAGCCGTCATTCAAATATAGATGACGTGGCAGCCAAAGTTTTAGATTTAGAGGAATTAACATTTTAAATTCATAGATTTAAAATGTTTTGTTATTGATAGGGTATTATCAAATGTTGACAAATTTTAACCACTAGTACAAGGTAACACAATATAATAGGAAAGTCAAATTTTTTTTTATGTACATGAAAATATACTTATATATTTAAGGAAGAAAAAATACACAAAGAGATCTCTTTTTGACTACTAACAGATATGCTTGCTAAATACAAGGTAGCATGAATAAATATATAGATGACTCAATAAGCTTAATAATACAGCTTAAATAAATTTTTTGAAAAAGAAACATGTTAAATTTTAAAAAAATAAGTTGTGGTGAAAAATTACTTTTAACAATTAGAAATGAAATTTCTTAACTACAATTTTCTTATCTTTTGAGATATAAACCTAAAAAAATAACAAAGGTAAAAAAAGACCCATGCAATCTAAGAGTAAAGTAATAAATAGTCGAATCCATCACTTTCAGTTTTACTGAAATTCGGTGTAATGGTATAAGGTATAATATGATAATGGTATAATATGATAAGTAAGTAATTCTACCAAATCTTAGATTTTTAGGATGAAAATTGTCCAAGTTATGAGAAAATCTAAAGATTTCATAAAAAATGACAAGCATGCATATAAATGGTTTTTCCTTACTGTAATAAAAAAAAAGATTTTCAAACATCAACTTGAAGCTAAGGAATTGATCGTTTAATTGATACGATATTGTAACCTGACAAGTATAAATGTAACCTGATTAGACCTTAAATATCTAAAAATATAAGTTCTTAAATTAAATTAAAAAATAAACAAAAAATTTTTTTAGCCGGCTAACTCTTGACAATTTTTTTGTTAATTCACATGTTTTTTGATAATTTTCCGACCGTTTCCACTTAGCTTTCAGAATCCTGATATTTTTAATATGATGTTATTATAACTTACAAATTTTGAATTTGAGTAATAACATTTTAACACACTCAATTTTTGACAAATCAATCGTAAATCCATGTCGCTTTGATATCAATTTTTTTTTTAAATAAAATTTTTTTCTAACAGCAATATCTTTAAATTCATGCGAAAACTAAATTTTTAGCATGCAGATTGGACCAAGATGCACTTTTTGCTCAATAATATTATTAGAGTTTTGGAGCGAGAAAACAGTATTTTTCAGCAGGATGGAGCAGAAATTTCCTTTTTGGAGCAGTTTGTCACAATTTGTGCATATATTCCAACCATGGAATAACTTATTTTATTGTGTGTATCCATTACACTTAAGTTCATTAAAATCAAACCCAAATGTGATTTATGTGATGTATAATGACTCAAAATAAAAAATAAAGTTGGTTTGTCGAAATGTTTTAAAAATTTAAAAAAAGTTTACCTTGAAACCATCTTTCTGAATGGCAAAGAAAACTTCAATCATATACTGTACTCTAACATCCATAGCCCCTTCATGCAGAACGTCACGTACTCTTTGTATAATAGCTAAGGAAGAAATGTGTCAACTTAAGTTAACTTTGAAAATAAACATAAAATTGACAAAGCTTCAAGAGCAATCAAGGTGGAAAAAGTAGAACTCCTAAAACGCGTCAACTTTTTCCATTTAAAATATTTTTGAAGTTCTTTTGATAAGTATATCTTACAATACTGTTTCAGTTTTAGATGTTTCTTTATTTACAATATAAAATTGGTTTGCAACATATAACCAAATAATATTTGCTCTGAAAATGCATACAGTTATATTCATAAATAGTGAAACTATATCAAAAGATACTTTCTTAAAATTATGCTTTAAATTTGCCATAATAATGCTTCAGAATTGCTTTTCCAGAAAAAAAATTAACCACGAAACTAAGGAGAAATTTAAATCCTGAAATTCGCAAGTGAGGATAGGGAGCATTTAGTGTACACAAAATATGCTTTGGCAATCAAAAAAAGACTATGGGTTGATCTTAGATACAGTTTTTAAGTCAAGCATTACTAGAAGTAGTTAGTGAGCAAATGGGCTGCAAAGATTCAATAAATTTAGAAGTTCAAGTCAATAATATTTAAATATGACAAGTTCACAATGAAAAAAAAAAATGCTTATACCAAGCATTGCACATGTTTATTATGAATTTAAAAACTTATTTTTATTAACATCATACAGAAGAATATCAAATTTTGATTAGTTAAATAGATATATGCTTTGCATAACACCAACCTTAGAATCTTTTAAGCTTCACACAGACATTTCAGAAAGCATGTATAATTTTACTTACAAATTTAATGAAAAATTTAGAGTGAAAATATCACACTTGTTTATTGATGTTCAGGGTAAATTACAAGAAGATGTAGAAAACTTATAAGTAATTTATTTCATATTATCCAGCTGGGCATTATTGAGTATTGCCATACTATTCCAGACTGATTTTACTGAATTTTCTTGATTTTTCAAACTGGAGATATAAATTTTATTACTAATTTTTCAGTTATATTTTGTTCTCATGCATAAAATAAATTGTGAAACACTTATACTTACAATAGAACTAAATATTAGAGTTAAAAAAAAAGTATTTGGTTTCAAAAAAAATATTATGAGGTTGATTTGTTTTTGGAAACAATCTTGCACTGTTTGGAACCTGAAACTCAAATTAATTTAATTTTCCCTGCTCTGAAGCCATCCTGTTGTCCCATAATCTGATGATCATTATGAATATATATAATCTTATGCAAATATTATATACATAATTAGAGAATAAAAGAACAAATTATTGGCATTATTTACCTCTCATGCCACGGGGTGTGAGTTGAGTTAATTTTTTCCCACACTCTTTCAAACAGGCAATTGAAACTTCAACAGAATCTTCAGAAGGATTTTCAAGAAGATGGGTTACTATTTCTAAAATAAGGATTTCATGTGCCTGCAATGATATAAAAGCAAATTTTAAAAAGTTTTAATATCCGAAATTCATGTTCAAATGTTACAACTTATTATTTAGAGCATATTTTCAAAACTCCTTATCATAAAACTATGATATCTAGGCATTTTTAAAATTCCTTATCATTTCTAGGCATTTTTCACCACTAAATTAAAGTAATTGTTTAAAACTTTGAGTAAATATCTAAAATAAAATTCGATTTTTCTTAATATTTTTTTGAGCATTTTTGTCTTTAATTGGTTGCTATGTTGTATTAATATAATCATTGCATATTATTTCCTGAAAAAATAGATTTAAGGAAAGAGATGAGAAGGGGTTTAATATGAATATTACTTTAGAAAATGGGTGAATTCCATAAACAAAGTCAGTGAATCAAGGTATGAATGGCTTTAACTTTTTAAACAAACCAGTTCTTATTAATTAAGAGACATCAATTTTTATTTAAAATGTTACATTCAAATAATCATTCTCATTGCATCTGGTTCAACTAGTCTACCAAAATTGCAGCAATCATATAAATTTTCCTTTTAGCACTTTGACACAGACTGAACACTGGTGGTCCTTTTTATATATATTTCTCCTGATGTTTGAATTACAAGTAAAAATATATTTCGGTATTTTTTAATTATAAAAAACAGTCTAATAGTTACCTGATAAAATCTGTTAGATTATCAGAATTATAATTGTATTAATATATAAAATCCAAAAAGTAGTTTGAAAAAAAAATCATTTTTTCATTTACATTAAAAAATTTATCAATAATTGATTTTGTAAATTAAAGAAATTTCAATGAGGAATGACTGTTTCTTTTAGATCAAATAACTGCAAATTGAAAAAATGTTTTGTTTGGAAGTGAGCCATGTTTGGAAGTTTTTACCTTTAACGAAGAAAAGAGCACTAGTGTTTTATACCGTATTTCATAACCATAAATCATTAAGAATCTATTATTTTTCACTTATTTTGACCTAAATTAATACAAAATAATGAAAAAAAAGCATGAAAAATATGTTTAATAAAAATTCTGTATCTAAGGATTAAAGAAAAAGTTGGCACATTGCATGTAATATATTCTTTTAAAAATAACATTTTGTTGCCACAATATATTTTCAATTGTGTTTCAAACAATTCTATAACAAATGCAATCGTTGTAATTGTAAAAATTCAATAGAAGTGTGAAATGTTTGAATTTCAAAGTAATTAACATAAGTGAAAAAACAAAATCTCAGGATTCGCGTGAGTTCTTTTTTTTTTTTTTAATCTTCTTCTGTTATGTGTACAATTAACAACTCAGTGCAATAGAGAGTTGACTAAATTTTAATGCACTCATTCATCAAAAAATATTGATTTATTTTGTAAACAAATTGAAAAATATTTGGACACATAAATATAATTAAATACTCATAGTACATATTTAAAAAATGCTATAAGAACAAAAAGCTTATAACATACTAATATACAATATATTTTGCAATTTTATTTATCTAGTAAAAATAATCATACCACTTCTTGATTTAACAAATGGGCCAAGAAACGAACAGCAGTCATGCACACTGCTTTATCATTCCTTCTAAAACCTCTTTTGTACTGGACAATTAATCTTCGCAAAATCAATTCCCCAATTTCCGGAAACTATAGAAAAGAAATTAAAAGAAAATATGTTATTAATCTTATATCTGATTTATTCAGCAAAATGATTTAATATAAACATAGTTTTGATACTAATTTCAATTGAAAAAATAATGTTGGTGTGATTTAAAAAAGTATTGGAAACTTTTTCAATAAACTTAAAATGTGGCACACATAAATAAATTAAAACTTCTGTTTTCTTATTTTCTTAATTTAAAATTTCTCTCCTTTTTTAAAATTATTATTATAGCATGACAATTTTTTATAACATCACTGGTTGAAAACCATTGTTTAATCAGTGAAAAAGTTTTTTTAAAAAATACAGTGATGTTTAAAATAATAGCTAAATTTAATTACAAACACTTAAAATCTACAGTTAAAAATTGGTTATGCATAGTTACTTACTTTCGTATTAATAATAGCCACTAATGCAGCATAAACTCGAGTAAATGTAGGAGAAGCGGCTTGAGCTTGCATTATAGCACGTGCTAACACACCTCTACAAAATGAGAAAAATAAATAAATGTCTAAAAGTAAACAATTATATTAGATATTTTATAAGACTACTGAATTTTGAAAACTAAGCAAATAATAATCTTTTGAACTCTATATGCTTTCTACTATATGGCTTTCACATGGGCCTCACAAAACAATTTCTCTTCTCAAAAGGCATTGAAGATTTAATCTTTCTTCTATTTTTACAGGTTTGTAAGAATTAAGATAATCTCTTCGTTCAAACATGTGACTAACTGGTTAGCAATGGTTGCTGGTAGATGAGTCAAAAAGTAAAACTATTTGCAGGAGCAAACACATGACAGGAACATAGAAAATTTTGTTTATAAATTTTTTCATTAAATGTTTTCAGTACATTGCTATTATCCAAAGCACATTATTCAATAAGGGCATTCATTAATATAGAATACATTAAAAAATAAATTTAAAAAAAAGTACTTTTGCTGAAAAGAATGTCCACCTTCTTTTTCAAAATAATAATAATAATATAAACACAAAAAATACAATATAAAGCTATAAATACACAAAATATAAAGCTTTGATAAATTTTATATATTTAATTTTTAAAAAAAATGCCATAGAAATTTTGGGAGTTTTGAGTATTTAAGCAAACTTTTAATTTAATTTTTATACTTTAAATGATAAACTTTATACATATGGATATAAAGATATTACCTTCCTCTTATAATGTTTTCACGGAAAAGTTCAGGAATGATTTCTGCAATATTTGAGCTATTCACTTTATTGGTCATACCGATAATACTTTTCTTTAGTGCTTCCCAGGCAATTCTCTGATAATCTTCACTATAACAGAAAAAAAAAATAATACAAAACTTGTAATACAAGAAACTTTTTATATACTATGCATTACCTAATGACGGTCCTTTATATTTTTATAGTCTTTGTCAAACAAATACACAATAGGGATCATGTTAACCACTAGCAAAAGCAACAAAAATTACAGCATATTTTTATTAAAAAAAATTATAGGACAACATTTTGAGTGACTTGTCATAAATCAAGAGCCCAGAGTATAACAAACATAATTGTACAAGTTTATGTCAGTTTTGATTTTTCCACTGACAATAGAAAGGCTCCTGTGTGTTGGCAGGCAGTGTGTCCCCTGAAGTGCTGTCTTGCCAACACACATATCTTTTATTTTTATAGCTTTTTCCTGCTTTAATTGTTTTATTGAATATCTAAAATGAAAAAAAAAAGCTTCAACTAATATTTTTATGTTATTCCTTTTCTGTAAATCTTTTTCTTAATTTAATTGTTCTAAACAAAGTGCTCTTTCTCACACTTTAATATTCACATCTTGTCTTTTAATCTATTTTTTGTTCAAATATGCATTTATTAACATTTATCCCTGTAACTAAGCAAGAGAAAGCTAAATTTCCCTCGACCTATGTAACAGACCAATTATAATTATTAAGATTTTCTTTATTCCCTAAAACGAAATATTTTACGGATTTATGTTGCATGATTTCCCCAACTTTTATTGAGGAGCACTCCGATTTTGTGTCACTTGGCCTGTTTGTNGTCCTTTATATTTTTATAGTCTTTGTCAAACAAATACACAATAGGGATCATGTTAACCACTAGCAAAAGCAAAAAAAATTACAGCGTATTTTTATTAAAAAAAATTATAGGACAACATTCTGAGTGACTTGTCATAAATCAAGTTCACAGAGTATAACAAACATAATTGTACAAGTTTATGTAATTATGTCAATTAGATCGATTTAACTTGTGAACCAAGAAAACATTATTTATTTTATTAATAACTTTAAATGAATGGCCTACTTATTGCAGAGTAAGAGATTTTAAGATCAAAATCCCTGTTTTGTTTCTTTCTGTGAAGTTCCCCCTCCAAAGCTCCAAAATATACTTACTGCTACTAAAATTATAATTACAATTTATATTATATAAATTTAATAAAATTTTACTTTATTTCGATTTGGTTATTCTAACTTTAACTGTATATATTTATAAGTGGGCGTATCATTTTTAAGTTTTACTATGTGTACTTTTAGGTTGTGCTAGCTGGTTCATTATTTTTCTCTGCAATTCAATTCTTATAATGATTTTCTCTTATTTGTTTATCCATTATGGGGTCTCGGGGAACTGTCAGTTTTGATTTTTCCACTGACAACAGAAAGGCTCCTGTGTGTTGGCAGGCAGTGTGTCCCCTGATGAAGTGCTGTCTTGCCAACACACATATCTTTTATTTTTATAGCTTTTCCCTGATTTAATTGTTTTATTGAATATATAAAATGAAAAAAAAAAAGCTTCAACTAAACTTTTTATGTTATTCCTTTTCTGTAAATCTTTTTCTTAATTTATTGTTCTAAACAAAGTGCTCTTTCTCACACTTTAATATTCACATCTTGTCTCTTAATCTATTTTTTGTTCAAGTATGCATTTATTAACATTTTAACGTTTATCCCTGTAACTAATCAAGAGAAAGCTAAATTTCCCTCGACCTATTTAAAAGACCAATTATAATTATTAAGATTTCCTTTATTCCCTAAAACGTAATATTTTACGGATTTATGTTGCATGATTTCCCCCAACTTTTATTGAGGAGCACTCCGATTTTGTGTCACTTGGACATTCATTTTCTAATTCTGATGAGTAATTTGCTCATTTTAAAATCCTAAGCCTGTTTGTCTTGCTCGCACGACTGCCACCTTTATATATATACACACACAAATATAAAATCTATTTAAATAGCTTTCGAATATTTTAAATATTTACAATTGAAAAAAAAATGCAGAACTCAAACTAGTACCTTCCTTTATCTTTAATCTGATCTTGCATCATTCTAAGTCTTGCAGGAGGAATGTAAGCTCCACCAGTTCTCATGTTAATATTTACAATTTTTTGCCTTTTTGATAGAGGTTCAGTACTTTCATTCTGCTCTGCGCTGTCCTTTTGTTTTTCTTCTTCAGGATCTGTCCTCTCTTTCCTTCTCTGGAAAGTATGAATTATAATCAATAACAAGATGCATGTAATATTATCAGAAATGCAGGGATGCCATCATGTCTCGACTTCTTATTCTCTTGTCACAAAGCGATTTTCTGTACCATTCCCTGTAGTGATATTATTTCAGGGGTCTGTCCAGACATTTTGTGAAAGGTCCTGCTTTCGTAAAATTGTGAAAAAACTATTCATAATTTGTGAATATAAAATAGGTGTTAAGTCACAGTTTTTCAACCAAGGTCCTGCTTTTGTGAATTTGTGCAAATAGGGTTCTGTTATTGCAAAAATTTCTAAAAACCTTTTCAAGAAGTTTTTAAATTGTAAATAGATACAAGATTCTACTCATCAATTGCTGCTACTAATTTAGAAATGCAACATGAAAATATTTGGTATTTAGCCTATACTGCTCAACACAGAATATTCATTTCGGACGAATAATGGAAACAAAATCACTCACATTTTTAATAATTTCAATTGACATATTTTAAATAACACAACTTAGTAATGTATCACTTTTAATGTGTTACGCATTAAGTAAACTTAAACAATTCTTAAATTTATAATATTTTATTTAAAAAATTGCCAGAAATTAATTTTTATTTACATAATATTCTATTAATTAATTTTATGAATAAATATAAATTGATCAATTATTCATTTAAAAAAAAATTATGATTTAATATTAGTAAGAATGCGCACACGATTTTTGTAAAAGTAGAAATATTTTCTTAGAATACTACACTTGGAATTTAAACTTAGAAACTTAGTTTGTCTCGAACCGCCTTTCTCCCCTCCCCCTCCCGGGAAAGGGTTTATTCGATTAACAAAACAATAATGAAGGTAAACGAATTTGTGAACGGTCCGATTAAAAGATAAATTATTTTGTGAAGGGTCCATTTTTATGAAAAGACATTTTTTGCAGGGTCCATTAACGGACACAAATTCCTTCTAAACAGACCCCTGTATTTATAAACATTTCTTAGAATCTAATACTAAAATTAGCGCATAAATTATGAAATTCTTATGTATCAGTATAATAACAAATTTGTCCGCGCATGAGATAAAAGATTTGTTACAGAATTTATGTAGGTTTACACTAAAAAATGCGAACTATCTAACAGATTGGGTCACTTGGGCAATAATGAAATGTTTGTAAAAGGTTACAAGTAATTCTGCATATTTATAAGTCTGGGAACTTTCTCGTAGAATGAATTGTCTTCATGATCGTTTAGTTATTTATAGGTTTAGGTTAGGTTTATATTAAAATTAAATTTATACAACTATTTGATAAGTGGGGTAGTATAATTCTTTTTTGTTGCTTAGAATATGATTTAGTATAAACTGCAGTTGGAAGTAGCATGCAATAAGTAGCAAAACTACTGCAATTGTTACTCTTTCATAATTTTTAGAGTAGTGTGCTACTTTTTTTAAAATAAATAGTGCATTGAGTAGTTTGATATAAAAACAGTAGTTTGTAGAGATTTCTAGCAACTACTGTAGAAAAAATTAAGTAAAGAAACAAGGCTCAAATGTAACTAATTTTGAAATTTTTATAGGGAGTAGAGGAAATAAAAGAACATTAAAACTTAACGAAATCATAAATATTTGATAATTTCCAATAATTGCTTTCACTGTCGAGAAAGACATAAAAAGTTGAAGGTTAAAAGAATAAATTATTTGAAATTTTTTTTAGAATAACTGGTTTATGTAAACGTGAATAAATACAGTATAATCCTGCTATAATGAAGCAGGGATATAGTGGATACTCGGTTGTAGTGAATACCTCTAAGGGACTCACCCAAACTACTGTTTAACTGCTATTTCACACTTTTATAGTTAACAGTTGTGAAATCATTTGTTTGCTTATAGCGGGCTCATATTTTTTTTCTTGCAGGTATTTGAATAATAGTTAGAAAATTTATAGTTTATGTGATAAGCTATAAACTATGACTTATAATTAAAAATTAAGAAATACACTTTATAAACAAGTGTTTTAAGTAAGCTATTTCTTAGCAATGAATAATGCAAGTAGCCACTAAAACACGCATAAGGGAATGAATGTGTTGCACTGAAATCTCAGAAAATGACAGAAATTAAAATAAATAAATAAACACATAAAAAATAATAATGAAAATAAATGAAACAATTAACACCTTAAAAATTTGTTAAAGGGAGACAACCATTTCAATTCATGGAGAGTATTTTTAAAGTTTTTTAACATTCTGATTAAAAATCTTGCTATAGGAAGAAATTCTCGTTAAGGAAACTATTTAGAAAAAAGACTCTATATATTCAGTTAGTCAATAATTCATAATACAAATTATGCACTATAACAATAACTATTTCTAACAATAACACTATAATATGCTAAAAATATTTTCCCAAAGATTTTGTATACGGTGAACCATTGTTCATAGTGGACTTTTTGCTAGGTCAGCTAATGGTTCATCATAACAGGGGTCCGGCTGTAATTCTTAATAATTCCTCATGCTTAAAAAAGCCAATTAATCATTTATAACAATTTTGAATATAGGGGTAAATTAAGTTCGTCTCCTTAAAGTAGGGAAGTAGTTACTACATTTCGAAACTAGTTTGTAGTCACTACATTTGTAATAAAATAGTTTTAGATAACTACATTTAGTTGTTAACTACAAAAAATGTGCTTTTTTCAACGCCTGAGTGTAGATTACTTAATAGTACTTACCTCCTCCTGACGATCTGGCAACTCTTTTTCTGACCTGCAAATAGAAAATGAACTTTAAGAATATTATTATGACAAATATAATAAAAAATTTGTGTAAATAATAGTACCAAAGCACATACAGCTATGACATTATCCTTTTTTATAATACCTTAACTTAACAAGATATCAAGGTTTTTGACTTTACATGATTAAAAACATCATTTGCTTCAAAGATATAAAAATTGGAAATAATAGTTAATATATTTAAAGCATTAAAACAGACCCTCATTTTCACAACTTGCCAGACCTGAATGAGAAGAAAAAAAGGATTTGAAATATGAAACATAAAGTTGCTAACAAAAAAAATGGAAAAATAAAGGGGAGAAAGAAAACTAAAAATCGCAGTGGTCGAAAGAGGAAAAAAAATGAAAAACAGAACACGAAAAGCCAAAGTGGCAAATCAAGTAAATATGTATTTCCACATGCTATGGTGAGGTGGAGAGTGGCGTGCAAATAATTTTAGCATTATTGAAATTTAATTTATGCCCAAGATTCAAACAGAATGCAACAATTAATGATTTTTTTTCACTTTTGAAAATGGACATATCAAACATGTTCTTTAAGTCTAAATTTTAAAGAGCTAAAGTCATGCAAATGCGTTAAAGGTACATTTTCACTTGCATTGAGAACACCACATGCAAGAGCCAATCAGATAGCAAGTAACCTCTCAGTTTTGAATTTCAGCAGCCTCGTCTTATTGATGCACGTAACTAAACGCGTTGATGCAAAAGATGAAACATTGAAAAAGTTCATAAGAATTGTGCCCATTTTTTCGTAGAATTATTGTCGAAATTTTTTTCTATAGAATTATAAAGAAAATGTCAATTTTTTTTCGATGAAGCAGATTGTTTTAGTTTATTTTTTGTGAAGGTGCTATTTCAGTCGGCATAATTTTTGTGAAAAATTAAACCAAAATTGAAAAAAAGAAAGAAAAAGAAAGCATTCTAATTCTCTCGAGAATCGACGGGAAATTCATATTTAACTACAAATTACTTAATTAGTAGTTAAATAAAAATATGGTAAATTATTTTACCTTGATTCCTCTCTTCTTCTAAATTGTCCAAATTCTGTTCTCCCTGAATTTCTCTGAGGATAGTTCCTTTGATTATCTCGGATGTTTTTATCATATGTACCAGGTGAATAGTTATTATTTCCTTCCTTAAAATTTTCATTGTCTCTTTCTATTGATGACTGGCGCTTATGGCGACTCTTTGTTTTATAGTGAGGTGAAGATTCAGCTGAAAACATTTTGTTGCTTTTTCTATTAGTGAATTCATCACGAGATTTTTCATACTGATTTTCGGCAGAATCATCTCGTTGCTTCGATTTACTCCAACTTTCTTTTTCAGAAAATCTTTTGGAATCATCTCTTTTTTGTTTAGATTTATGATTTGAATATCTATCCTGGGATGAATCTCTCTTATAACGTTGCTTTTCTTCTGAAATGTCTCTGAAAATTTTGATAAAAATAGTTAAAACACACACAAAAAAAATTTCCAATTAAAAAAAATATTAAATAAAATATCTCAGGGTGCGTAGCCAAATTATTCAACAAAAATAAGCACCTTTTAAGCACTTTTCAAGTACTCAAAAATATTTGTAAGCACTTTAAAAAAATATCATAATTAGGCAGGATTGGAAAGTTTTTAACAATTGATGGTTTTATCTTGTTTTAACCGTCATGTCAAAAAAAAAAAAAACTTTTGGCATTTTTTTGACAATTGTCAAAAATAATGAAATTTTGAATCATGTGAAACAAATGGCGTTTACATACGCTACAGACTAACAATGTGCCGAAATATATTGGGGTTGAATTAATTGTGAAAACGCTGAATAGAACAATATGTCTTTTTGCATAATTCGTAGCGAAAATCAACATGGTAGAGGAAAAACCTCATTCTGAAAAAGGGAAAATTAAGCACTTTTTAAAAATACCCAATGAAAAAAGCACCTTTAAGGGCTTTTAAAAAACTAAAATTCGAAATAAGCACTTTTAAAAAATGCTACACACTCTGATGGAAGTTTGTAGAGAGGTACCTACTCAGATGCTGTTAATGTGGTTTGACTAAGGTCAAAATTACATGGTATAATTACATCCTAATATGGCCATTAAAAGATAAAGCAATGCAAATGGGTGTAGGTGCTTGGCCATGTTTGAATGATGACGGTTTATTTCCCCCAAAAAAACACTTACTTTTAATGCAGGTGTTAGTATTACATATTACATGTAGTTATCTGTTAAATTATATGTACAGGAAGCAAAATAAAAAAATGAACCCCAGAAATAACTATTGATCCAATGATCAGATTTTAGCGTTCTAGAGCTCAATCTTGAAGGTTCGAAGGGGTGATCACAAATAAATTTTGTCTTTTTCTGAATTTGTAAATCAGTCTCAAATAAATATGTTAATTAATTAGTGCAGACAATATTTTAAGTTATGAAATCAGAAAAAAAAAATTTTTTTTTCTCTGAATAAACATACAAATTTTTTTTGTTTTTGGATTTCTGACCCTCAAAATACAGGGAGTTGCGGCTATCTGGGAAATATGGTCCCAATAATTTGGTCAGGAGAGCCGAATTTTGAACCCTTAATGTTAATTTTTTTCCTTTTGTGTTTTCACCATATCCCAAAATTTTTTGAAGTGAACTAAAAAATTTTTTGCACACAATTATAAAATTTGTTTATCCAAAGAAACAAAAATAACTTTAAGTAAATACTTTATAATTTTTATTATTTTATTTAATAATAGCAAAAAAACTTTTGAATAGTAAGGTAAGCAATTTTTTTACACAATTTTAAAGAACTCAATTTTAAATGGCAAAATACAAAATGGGAACAAAATCGGTCGACAAGAAACCAAATTTTAAATATATGATGTTTTAAAATGTAATTTCTCAGAAACTATTCGACTGATTTTGCTCAAATTTCGTATTTTACCATTTTTAAAATTGTATTCTTTAAATTGGTGTGAAAATTGCAAACATTAAAATTCAAAATATTTTTTACTATTATTAATTAAAATAATATTTACTAAAAGCTATATTTTTCATTGAATTACTTTTGGATAAATGGTTTTTATAATTGCGTGCTAAAAACTTTTCAATTCACTTAAAAAGTTTTTGAGGTATGGTGGAATATGCAAAAAGTAAAGTTAACATTAAAGAATTCAAACTGGACCACTCACCTGACCAAACTCTTGGGACCATATTTCTTTGATAACTGAAATACCTGCATTTTGGGGGTCAGAAATCCAAATACATCAAATAAATCATACAAATTTCCGATGAATCATACAAATCTCATTAGAATGAATAAAAACCTCTATCGGCCTATATCTTCAACATACCAATTAAATAGGGTAAATATTAATAGCCTATTTATACATTTATGAAAGTAGTAAAAGTATAATAGTAAATAAAATAAAATATTAATGTTACATTTTCATAATTAGAAAAAATAATTTTACTAGAGTGTCCTAAAAAGAACTCTTTCAAAGTTATCAATTATTTGTTTGAAAGATGCATAATTATGGAATATTTGCATTTTTTATTTTACAAACAATATTTTTTTTTGCCCTTTACAAGAAACACTAAAAGTGCCTAACTTATTAAGATAAAAGTGACAAACTTATTTAAATAAGAGAAATCTAAATGTTTCTTTCACTTAATATTACTATGCAAAAAGACTACTATCTTGCAGAACATTTGAAAATTTCCAAGGGATTACAAGTGGTTTGTAGACTACAAGATGAGAAACTGATTTAAAGAACTGAAATTGTTTAATTAATAGATGACTAATTACATCCAAAGGTGCTGAGTGGTTTATCAAACATAATATATATATAAATTAAACATAATATATAAATTAAACATAATATATATAAAATATTAGATAATTTTATACAAACCTTTTCCTAGTTGTGAAATCTTCACTTTCATAATTTTCTCTACGATCTTTCTTCTTCGATTTTGAAGGCTGAAAATATAAATTACAAGCATATTAATTAAAAGAAAAGTTTAAAATTGATTCTGAAACTAAAATTATTTAATGAAAAATAAGATTAAGTATTGATAACATAACTTACTATTAAATCGCACATTTACTCTATATTGTCAATAAAATGTACTTAAACCTAAGTATACTTATAACACATTGTTAATTTATTCCGCCAAGTTGAATGGTAACAGACATTCATTATTCAAGATATCATCAAATACAAAACTTTTGACACAAGAATTTTTCTAATTGTTTAAACAAATATCATTTATCTTTTGTTTTCATTTTTCTAATTAGTTTATAAAATCATACTTCAAAAAAAAAATTTAAAATCACAACCTAAAGATAAATTTATAAACTATATTACACAAGATTATTTTTGATCCATACATGATTTTTTTCACTAAATAAAAAATCAAATCAATAATTAGTTTAAACTATAAAATATCAGTTGATTTAAATCAATAATTTTAAAAAAACTTTACTGTACTAATATTAAAAAAACTTTACAAACTTTTTGAAATATTTAAAATTTTAAAAATAATAATTCTAATAGAGAAAATGGTTTTAAACAATAAAAAAATTATTAAAATAAATGTTTTTTTTAGAAACAAGAGTGGATTGGTAAAATATTCATTTTAAAATGATTAGCTTATTTAACTCTCTCGGTGTGTTATTTCCGGCGTTTCCGAACTTTAAGCTGGTGACTTTAATGCGTCAAAAAAGTAGATTTTCTAATGTTATATAAAGGGGAAGTAGCGCAGTGCAAGGAAATTTTCACAGGGCTCTAGACTTGGAGTATTAAAGGTTTCACTATTGTATTTAGCAACTCCATAGTACTTAATTTCATATGTTTGTAATGACTGAGCAAAACATTGTTTCATGATGGCATTCTAGATACTAGAAGAATCCATTCTGCAAGATTTCTGTCAAAAATTCTTCTTCTTCTTTTTATTAGTGGAATATCATGATTGAAACGTTTTTGTCCATAAAAGTTTAAGAGGAGAGAAAAAAATTAGAAATTAGGTTCTAAAGTAAAAAACTAACCAAACAATAATTATTATAAAAATAGGTGAATGTATATTCAATGGCGATTCGATTTCAATGAGTCTGACTGTTATGCGTCTGGCTAATTTCAGTTTTACAATAGTTGTATGGTTTCAACTGACCATATATATTCAATTAGCAAACTAGAGTACATCAGAACTATTTTGTTAAAAAACACTTCAAAAAATTACAAATTTTAATGGTTTCATACAAATTTTGTTAATTAATAAGTGTTTCTTAATAATACTCATAACCAGAAACTAGGGTGCCTCATTTTTCCATTTATTTCGGAGTGAAATGTAACACCTGAAAAAAAGAGGCCAATCCAAATGAACACTGCTGACATAATTTAAAAAAAAATCAAATAATATTTTCGGTGAAAAGTATTGGCTTAAAATTTCAAATAAAAATCAGAATGGTCACTAATTTTAGCTAGGTTATAACGATCATACTTTTGAATTAAGACCTAACACATATTAAAACTCAGTTTAAAGCCTCAAAATATAAATTTATAGCCTAAATGAGGATATAAATGCCTCTCCAAAAGGTTAAAATAGAGCACAAAATTGGTACAAATGTAGCTATTTGCTTACGATGCTAAACAATCTAGGACTTTTTGCTATCACTATCCTTACTCAACAAACCAACCAATCACAAGTAGGATATTGATAACAACTTTGATAAAGCTTGCTGACAATTGGAATCTGATGTTAATGACACCCTCTCTGAAGTCCAGAGTTTTGCTGAGAATCATAAACTGAGTTTTAATTTGTCTAAATCAATTACTAGCTTCTTCACGACTAACCGGCGTCTATATAACTATCAGCCCAACATCACTATGAATGGCCAATCACTGCCCTATGAAAAACATCCAAAATATCTGGGATACTCTTTAGATCCAGACATCCTGAGTAATAGACATATAGATCAGGCGGTTAATAAATCCAGAAAGAGACTAGACCCTTTGAAATGTATAGCTGGAAGGGATTGGGGGGTAAATGCCTATACCCTTAGATCAACTTATAACTCCTTGATAAGACCTATTCTGGAATACGGATATCAGATTTACTTCTGTGCGTCAGCCACTAACTTAGAAAAACTTGAGAGAGTTCAATCTAGTGCTGCTCGGATTATTACTGGCATGAGGCATAGTTGCCCCACAGACTTGGTTTTATATATGAATGCGATATCCAGCCTTTAAAGCTAAGAAGGAATGAGTTACTGGCTGGGTATTTTAACAAGCTTTACAGTTTTGGTGTTTTTAACCGCATTGCAAATTATTTCCGTAATTGGACAAACAAAGGTTGAAAAGAGACAGCCCTTTTTCTCGTTTTCACCTGATGGATTTACTAAATATGAATGTGGAGAGTCACTCCGTGAGAAAAATCTTTAATCCTATGGAGGGCTTTCCTGGGGTACATTTCCATCCTGATCTTGGAGCTCATACTAACAAAAAGCAAGACTTGCCTGATTACTTACGCCAACTTGCTCTTGAAATAATTAACCAAATACCAGCCACAGATATTCTCATCTATACTGATGGCAGCAAAGGCGACCGCGGTTCTTGTAGTAGCTGAATTTTCATTAAGGCTCCTGACTTTTCTAGAAAACTTACGATTAAGAATCCAGACTTCTGCTCTGTTTTTAGATCTGAGCTAACTGGCATCGAAGAGGCACTCAACGCTATTGGGTCTATAACATCATCCGCTAATATCTGGATCTTATCCGATAGTCGTAGTGCCATACAGCACTTAAGTAACTGGAATAAGGCTGGCGACAAGAGATCTGTCTCTATACTTAATAAAATTAAACAACTCTCTCATCGGTGTAAAATCTTCATTCAATGGACTCCCTCTCACATAGGCCTCTTTGGTAATGAAAATGCTGATCTTTTGATCAAGCAGGGAGCTTCTGATAGCACAATTTCAAGTCGACCTTTGACCTTCCCTGAGATTTGCTCCAAGATCAGAACCACTAATCAACAACTATGGAACATCCCTCCGGCCCACTCTTGGTATAATGGACAGACTCCTGGTGGGGTACTTACCATAGGGGCTGATAGAGCCATACAGTCCACTATCAGTAGGCTCATAAATGGACACATCAGGTGTCTCTCTTTTGAGCTTGGGCGAAAGACCTATTCAATGTGCACGAGGTGTAACTCTGCACAGGCTTCTCCCGATCACATTTTACACTGTCTTGGTCTGGAAAAGAAAGACCTCTACTCTGGTCCCTTACTTGTTTTTGACTTCCTGAAGACTTTCGAGCTCATTGACTTGGTCGAGCCTGCGGCTGACCAAGAGGAATAAGTCAACAACAACAAGCTTGCTGAGAAAACAAATCAAGTCTCATGATACCATCTTTAGTGTCACAATTTATTTGGAAGACTGCTTTTGTAATTAACTTTACTACCCACTCTATTAGCGATTGTGTGATACAGATAAGCTATGAAAATCCTTAATAGCACAGTCTTGTCGAAAAGTTAAAGTTAGTCAATAATGAGCTCTTCATTTGATACATTCCTTTGTTTGGTCTGTAGAGCTAGTGGTACAGTAATACACGCTTAAGTGTTTTTCCTTTTGAATCATGCCTGTATTATCCTATTCTTCAACGTTCAGCTGTAAAATTATACTGAATGGAAAGACAGAAAATTCTTAACTTAGTCAGGTCAATAATTTTGAATTTCATACAGAACATATTGGCAGACAGTAAAGTTGGAAATCAGCCATTTTGGCAGGAAGAACACTTTGAGGAAGTGAAGGTTTAAAAACGAGGCACCTCATCAGACACATAAGTTCAAAAAAAAAATAAATAAATAAATAAAATAAGTAAATAAAAAAAACACAAATTGTATCTAACAATAATTGTTTTAAGATAAATAATAAAAAGAAATAAGATTTCAAATTTTTTTCCATCAAAAATAAATTACCTTTTTTCTATAATGTTCCTCAGAATCCGATTGAAACTGAGGAGAGTCATGTTCATATCTGAAAAAGAAAAATGAAAATATATCAACATACATATTCTACATAAGTTTTAAATATCAATTCAAAGCAGAATAAAATTTTAAAATGCCTGACCTGAGTTTGGGCAAGAGAAAAATCAGGACTTCAATTCCGTGGAGCCTAAACTCAGTTCGCCCAATGCATAATATGTAATTTACCATCTTTCCAATAGATGGCGATACTTGCTTTTAAAATTTTCCTAAAAAAGTTAGGCAGTTACGTTTCCTTTGACAGATTTTTCTAATTTTGCAGTTCTTCCCAAATTTTATTCAAACCACTGAGGGACATGGAAATCATAACAGTTGATATAAATAATAATATTGTTGGACAAGTATATTATATTTATCTTGAAAATTACATAATTTTATTTATTTAGCTATAATTTGAGCAAAAATTACTGTAATTCATTAACATTTCCCATATATGTGAAAATATCAAATATAGTAATAATTTCGTTTAATTTCTCCTAAAAAAAACTATTTTTAACATTTTGATGATATTAACGAATACATCAAAGAGAAATTTTTTCCCTTCCATTCTTGGCATGTTTTTCTAATCTATATTTCACAGGCAAGGGGTTACTGATACAGTGACTAGAGTTATAGCTAAACAAATCTCTAATTTATTTATTTTTTATTATCTAATTCATTTTATATCCATTATCTAAAATTTCATTATTTATTCTACCTAACATTTTATTATTCATTTTATTAACTATCTGTAAAAAATGGGTTGAAATCATTTTCAAATTTAACTTTCAGTATGCCTTTAAGTTTAAATCTGTAACAATTGGCAAGCTTCTGTAGAACTTTAGATCTGGGTATAGTGAATTTTTCAGAGTTAGACAATAGAAACTTGAGAGTCACTTAAAGTAGACTCAATTGAGCTAAAAATTTAAATAAGTGTTAAAAAATTAAAATATTTTTAATTAATAAAACCAATTAAAACTTGAAAAAAAATGCAATTGATACCCAGTGCACTTTTTAAAGTTTAAAAATTGCATATTTCAATATTTCGATTCAAGTATTAAACTATGTAAGCACTAAACTTTAATATACACCATTAAGTGCGAATCAAGACTTCATGAAATGCACATTTTATGAATACATGTATTGTGACTACAGAAATATACAGTTATTAAACTTTAATGAATACAAAGATATTTTTATATTCAATAAAGATTTTTGAAGGTTTACTGAATACAAACTATTATTTATAAAAAACACTTCAACTAATATATTCATATATAAATCAAATACTTTACTTTAATATAAACCAAAACACTTTACTTAAATATAATGCAAAGCATATAACATAAATATAAACCAAAACACCTGAACTTAAATATAAATCCAAGAACTATGACCAAATATAAATAAACCCTATGTATTATGCACTGAATTCAAATATACATTCAATTTGATTGAAATATACATCTAGAACAATATCTATTAAAAAATATACTTACTTCTTCTTGCTTTTCATTTTATATGAATCTTCATTTTCTTCAGTTTGTCTGTGTTTTCTTTTATGAGATTTTTTAGATCTTGACTAGAAAATAAATGAAATATTTTGCAACTTTATTATAAATTTTCCTTCATTGTAAAAATTAAAATCTGTCTGAATCTTAAACTTGGGACTGAAGAATGCTTAAAAGGATTTAACTTAATTTCAGAAATAGAATTCTTTTACTTTTCTAAATATTTTAATTTAATTCTTAATTAATAATCTATCTATACACTGCAATTTTTCCACCAGAAAAAAAAAACATAATTTTTTTTTTTAGTTTCATGCATCTAAAGAGTTTGAGAGAGACAAAATGTTACCAACTAATGACATCATGTAAAAATTCCAGTGAAATGTAAAATTTTTACTAGAAAAAATTATAATTTCGATAACAGATTATCATTATCAACAATTAAAAATTGGTCATTTTCCAGGCACGTCTTTTTAAATATTAATTAAAAACCATATTATGTGCAGAAACCAAATATAAAAACATGGATGCTGCTCATTGACGCCATCAGGGTGTCAGCAAGTTTTGTGAGAGAAACAAAAGTGAGCCCCGCTCATTTGTTTTTGCTCTATGATCATATTGAATAATTAAGAGACTAAATGCTATAGATATTGTATTTGTTTCTCATTGTTAATCAATTACAGTAAAAAGTAAGCATGTCTGTAAAAATGTTTTATTAAATATTTCTAAATAGTCAGAAATAGGACAAAAGTGGTCTAAAACTTGTAGATAAAGGAGGGAAGCATCTGGCAGTGTGTCTTTTAAGCTGAGCATATGCTATGACAGCAAATTCCCCTTATTTTTCTCGACAAGCCCTAAAAATGTCAGCTAATGGAAATGCAAGAATCTTTTAATAAATTCAAAAGTCGATGTTAAAGTTTTTATCAATCAATGTAAAAATAACTAAAATCTATAATAAAAACAATTTATAGCAGTGGTTAGGTATTTTATAGTTTTTCTTACCTAGTTGCAAGAACTGACTAACCCATAATTATATTAATTGCTATTAATAATGAAATGGATCATTAATAAAGAATCAAAATATCTAGGTAATAAAATATGCGCAAAAAAAGGAAGGGATAGAAGATATAATTATGAAATACAAAGTAAAAGCATCAATATTGATTAGCCCTTTATTGAAAAAGTTTATCATTATATTTAATTATATATACATAATTTTACAATACTAAAAATCTTCATTATATGTACTTCATTAGACCAAAGAAAAGCTAAAAAAATAAATAAATAAGTAAAACTAACTGCTTGTTATATGTAATTCACTGACTACCTGGTTATATAGTTAAAAAGGTTTTGTGTCGTAATTAGTCCTTTAAAAGTTTAAGGTATTATATTTTGTCATTCGTGGTACAATGAGAAAATTTTTATGCTTCGTAAAATAAAAATTTATTATTGAATATATTAATATGAGAGATTTTTCGAGATAAGAATTATTTTGACAAATAAAAAGTTCAAGAACAAAATTTCTGAATTAATATATATATATTTTTTAAAAAAAGTGCAATTATACATTTTATTTCTAACATGTTAAAGTACAGATAATAAAATAAATTCATATTTTGAAAAAAAAGTGAATTATATATATTTCATTTTATTTATTGTAAATATTTTAGATTGACAATTTAAATTTAAAGCAAATTTTTAAGGCTTCTAATAATTTCTAAATCCATTTCAGCATTGCACTTTAAAATTTTCAAAGTGGATTAAATTAAAATTTGAAAAATATTGGACAGTCAAATTAAAGTCAATAAACAAAATTTAAAACAACAAACAAACAAATAGTTCTAGCAATGATGATGGAAAAAGTAACAAATTAACATCATTTGCTTTATTTCTCCACTATTAAGAATTGTGTAATTCTATTTTATAAAATTTGATACCATAAAAACACAAATGGATGAAACATTGTTCAATAAACTTGTCATTTATTTAAAAAAAGAAAAAAAGCTTAAAAACAAAAAATGCACTTAGAAATAACAGCACTTTGCCCTACAAAATGCAATCTCACTATGATGGGATGGCTTAGGAGCTAGTATATGTCACCAGTAGTCAATGAAATTTTCAAACAATAATTGAAAGATAACTAACCATCAAATCAACATGTTATTTAATAAACAGTCTTTAGAGTATCTTAGGAATGATTCGTAATAATCAAAACAATCAATTTCATAGGTTACTTCCCTATTCCAGATTTTCCATGAAACATGGGAATCCTTGTGTGATGCAAATTTTTTTTTTAAAAAAAGAAGGTTTACAAATTAAAGAAACTATAAATAAAAATTTAAAAAAAAATTGTAAAATACTTACTATAACAAAAATTTTTAAATTAAAGGCCAAACTATAATATATATTTTTTCTTAAAATATAATTTTACTTCAAAGCTATGGAAAATAAAAAAGGAAAAGTCACATTTAATTCAAATAAATATGTTAATCAAACTTCTTAATAAGTAACTTCATATTTCATTTTATACCAAATATATTTAAAGTTAAAAAAAAAAAATATTCTTATCAACTGAAAAAATATTTACAACAAAATCATATCCCTTTTTTTATTTTATTCATTTAACCAGAAAATAAATCTCTAAACCAATTAATTTGGGGTTCAAAAATAGCTATAAAATAAATTTTAGTTCTATACATTGAAAGAGATTTCAATAACATACTAAATTTTTCTTGCTTACATACATGTGGCTTTTAAAAATAATTTATTATAGCAATNAAAAAAAAAAAAAAAAAAAAAAAAAAAAAAAAAAAAAAAAAAAAAAAAAAAAAAAAGAAGATTAATAAATGTAGGTTTATCATTTTAATATTTTTATTTTCCTTAGTTACAATGAAACAAAACTGAATCAGTCAATAAATACAGTGTGTATAAAACTAAATAGACCACCCAGAATAACTTTTGATCTAATTAATTAGCACAGACAATATAAGTTTAGATATCATACACAAAAACATTTTTTCCAACAGATTCAGATTTCTGACACCAAAATTATAGAGGATAGCCACAATCTGTCAAATATGGTCCCCATAGTTTGGTCAGGAAAGCAGTCCTAAGTTTGGACCCTTTAATATTAATTTTACTTTTTAAACACAAATATAAAATTCAATTATTTAAATATATTTTTATGCAAAAAATAGCTTTCAGTAAATATTTATAATTAACTATAAATTTTTTTTAAAATTATATAAATTTAATTATAAAAATTTATAGAATTATAAAAATTTTTTTAAATTATAAAGTATACAGTTTTTTAAATCATTTTAAAGAATAAAATTTTACATGACAAAATACAAAATTTGAGTGAAATTAGTTGAGAAATTTAATTTTAAGAATACAACCTTTATAAAATGCAATTTTTCAGGAGCTGTTTGAAAAATTTTCCACGCATTTTGTACTTTTCTTCATGTAAAATTACATTCTTTAAAATGACGTAAAACATTTTATATCTTACAATTCAAAATTTCTTCAGCTAGTGTTAAATAAAATAATAAATATTTACTGAAAGTTACTTTTTGCTTGAAATTTTCTTTGGATAAACAAATTTAATAATTCTATGCAAATATTTATTATTTTTTCAAAAGTTCTCGAGATATAGTGAAATACGCACAAACTAAAAATTTTTATTAAAGCATCCAAATTGGACCAATCTCCTGACCAAACTATAAGAACCCTATTTCCCTCATAGCAGCTACTATGTATATTTTAGGGGTCAGAAATCCGTCAAAAAATGGTATGCTTATTCTGAGAAATCACATTTTCGTGTCTGATTTTGTAACTTAAAATATTGTCTGTACTAATTAATGAGTAGGGGAGAGGGGGGCAGGGGTGATTGTGAGCCCAAGTCAAAATTCCGGAAAATTTCTTGAGTAAAAAAAAAGTTTAAATCGAAAAATTAGAAAAAAATTTAAACAAGGTTTTTTCCTACTTAAAATATGTTTAAAATTTTACACATACCAATGATGACCTGGAGAAGTAATTGAAATTTTCAAATATGTCTTTCTTTCCTGAGTTTATGATTATAAAAACTATTTACTGATAAAAAATTTATATTAATCTTGAACATAAGCTCATAAAGTATCAGGCTCTCCCTTACAAACAAATAAAATAAACTGTGTTTTCAAGTTCCACCTTTGAAAATTTGATTTCCGGAAACTTTCATCAATGATTTTTTCTTAAACGTTTGAACCTTCGATCTCCGGAAACTTCCGGATCATGGTTAGCGAAAAATCCGGAAATCCGGATTTTTTCCGGAGCACAATCAGCCCTGGGGGGGGGGNGGTTGGTGAAACCAAACAATGTACAGCTAACACAAAATGCTACAGTTCTAAATACATAAGCCAACAAGTTTTTGATGTCCAGCAAGAAATCCTGCTTTGTGAATACATAATTACATGTTCAATTCTCAATTATAGTCTAACTTACAGACAAGTTAGAAAACTTTCCTATGATAACGCAAAGTGTTTCAATTCCAAAATTCAAAGTAGCTGGGACAAAAATAAAACCTCTGGAATTGACTGGGTTAAAGGTTTTACGAAGTGTCACCCACAGCTTACTTTTAAGAAAACCGGAAAACACCAGCTTTGCAAGAGCTATAGCTCTTAATAAAGAAAATGTTCAAGAATTTTTCAACAATTATGAGAGAACTCTTAATTCTGGTCATTTTACAGTGGATCAAATATATAACTTGGATGAAACTGGAGTTTTAACAGTTGTTCCAGCTCCAAATGTTGTTGCCAAGCTAGGAGCTCACCTGGTTCGGGAGGTAGTTTCTGGAGAGCGAGGGAGCATGATAATCAATGCTTTATTTTCCAGAAAGAGAGGATATTAGTGGTATAGAAAGAAATGACATTAAAATGAAACTGCCTCAACCAAGTTTAAGCTGCGTAACAGTTAAGCTGTATTTTTCATGACATTCTCCGTAAACTTTGATTTTATTAAAGACAAAATAATGCAGAAAAAACCTAAATCAATCCAATATGTTCATTCATTATTATTAATTTATGAATAAAGTTAATTTTCCAAAATGCATGATCTTGTTACGTTCTCTTCAATTGTTGAAATGTGCCCCGCCACCCGTTGAAATCTGCCCCCCAGGAGGGGCAGATTTCAACAAAATACATGGTTCACTAAATGTGTAAAATTAGGTATTTTGTCTTTGGCTGAGACCTTTGGAAAAAATTGAGAAGTTACCCCAAATATCAATCTAGTAAATAAAAATTAGAACTTAGATTTTTAAAGCAATAAAACTTCCCAAATAATTTTTTAGCGAAAAATGTTGAAAGGTGCCCCCTTTCCCCTATATTTGAGCTTACGCCCATGAACCATTAGTCTCAGGAGAAAAAGACCCCATCATTAAATCAAGTCATTCAGGGTAATCATTTTATTTTTTTGTACATTAAAAACTATGCTTACTTCTTTACGTGAATATTCATCAGAATCAGAATAAGTAGCAACTTCTTGTCTAGAGGATCTGCAATGTAAAATAAGAAAATGTACAGTATTGTTAAGAAAATTTAAAATAAAGTGCAAAAAAATTATTAACTTTGTAGCTAAAAATACATATTAAGCTATTTGTGATGTTAATCTCACTCAAAAATTTGAATTACAAAAAATCTACCTAAAATTCAATGTAAATTTTTCAAGTTTCTAAAGAAATACAACTTTGAGTCAAACTTATCACAGTGATTAGTAACAAACTTAGATAAAATGAAAAACTTACTATGAAGTGAACAAAAATTGTCAATTAAAAAATCTTTCTGCAAGCAACTTATTGATTCGGGTAACTAGTTTCAGTACCTTACAATTTTTGGGAAATTTCGTTCAAAAATTATTTTTTTCTACTCATTTTTTCTGATTTTTTTTGCAGACTGTATTAACTTACCTTGTTTTACCTAACACTTGGCTTCTTTATATACCTAACATCTTAGTCACTTTGAAACATTTAATAAATAGTTTTATAAGAAACACTTTTTAATTTTTTAAAATTAAACAATCTTGTTTTCTTGTGCACTTATTTTACAATATTGCAGAAAAGAATAGAGAAATCTTAACTGTCTCCTTATCTTAATTAAAAAGAATAATGCTAATAAAAATTTTGTGATAATGAAAAATTTTCCTCCAAAGCAGTTTCTGTGTTACGTATATTATGCATATCTGATGTGCAGCGCTTCTTAAAATTGAGTTTACTCTAAGGACGGGTAACATATTTCAGTGTTTTATTGCGAGCCAATAACGTTAATAATTTGGACCTTGGCATAATTTTTACAATTTCAATATTATGGCACTTAAGAATTTTTTTGCCAATAAATATACATACTCACTACAATGAAAAATATTTCGAGCCTATTTAAATAGAAATAAAATTTATATTAATTTGGAAGATTTCCATATCATGATCTGTGGCAGAATGATCGCCAAGTCTTGGAAACCTCCGGGCAGCGGTCCGCGAGAAACTAAAAAAAAAAAAAAATTACAGAAAGGGATCAACTCGAAAGGTATAACTCATAGCCAACCCCGGGCAAACATCTACATGTTTTTTTAAAAAAAAATTTGCAAGCTTAAAATCTATTTGGTACCTTGCTGATTGTAGTTGGCGCGACAGATCACGATAAGGAAACATCCCTATTAATTTCAACACAAACATTAATTTTGCTACAAAAAACAAATCAGCAAAACCAAATAGTATGATCAAGTGTAGATAGCATAAGGATTCAAGTAAATATGAAATAATAGAGAATAATAACCATTAAAAAGATAAATAATTTCATATGATTGCTGTTGTTTGTTACTGAATAATATATTAATTCTAGATGTCAAACTAATTATGTCGAATTCGAAAAACATTAAAATCAAACTATAATAATCTTTTTTATCCTTATGTCAATAAGTAGGGAAAAAATGTCTGCAAAGCATTATATATTGAAAAAATAACAAATTTAAGGTAATTGTGTAGGTTTGCGGACCAGCGGTCTAGAATTAATTTGTTAAATTATGCTATTTGATACTGGAGAAGCAGGGGAAATCAGACTATTTTAAGAATGCATTACAAAAAAAATATACATTATTTACATTCCAAATACTGATATCTTTGTTATAAGTACATTTATATTTTACAAAAACCAATGAGATTAAATCAATATATTTTGGATATATTGTAATTTGTTAAGAAAAAAATAAGCAACGAATTAAAAGATTTCGTGATGAATTTATAAGCTATAAAATAAAATTATAAACATGATTTTTAAATGAAAACTCTTATAACTTTGAAAATATAAGATGCAATAATTATAAATTTCTCATACTCTTAATAACTTAAAATAATCTTACTTTCGAGGCTCTTTAACGGACATGTTAATAAATATTTTTGTTGTACAAAAAGGAAATCTTTGGAAAAGCGACGAGCAGCGCAGCTAACTGATCTTTGGCTTGAAGCTTTGTAGGAGATTGAAGATCTGTCCCCCATTAAAAAGAAAATAATATTTTATTTCGCAGAAGTAGATCGCCAGAAACTCTTTTTGAAATACGCGAACAAAAACAACTTTTAAAAACATGCGGTTTTCACAATTTACTCTTAAATTTTACTGATTTTGTGTACTCCTCATAGAAGTAAAGAAATTTTTGGTATTTTATTTGCTTGAAATTACTATTAAGTTAGAAATAGTTTTAATGTGGAAACTGCTTGTTTCTAATCGTATCATGCAAGTCTTCGAATTGACTATTATTTTTAGTTCGCTACTATCAAACTAAACAAGTTTTTTTTATTCTAGGTTGCTTAGGCGATTTGTTTTAAGTATTCTTCTAATCTCATTAAATATTTCCAATATTTTTTTTATTGATAAATTTGGGTATTTAACATACATATATAAAGTCAAGTAACTTTCCTAACGATTCAAATTTTTTTTATTTTATTTAATTCTATTTTTTTCAAGTTTCAGATTTTTTCTCATCTCAAGACTTTTTTTCCCCCAAATTTTTTCAGTTTTATGAAAATGGATCTTAGTCATTATACAGATGATCTCTTCAAAGATTTACCTCGACTAGCTCCTATTTGGCATGAGATTTATTACCAAAATAGGTTGAACCTATTTAAATCAAAGAAAGGAGATAATTTAATTGATGTTTCTGGGGCAGGAATAGATGTATCTATTCAGAATGGAGAACTTATTTGCAATGAAGCTAAGAGTACACATGATAAATGGAATTTTGCTTCAACTTCTTGTGCATTGCCTTTTTTACCTATGAATAGAGGTATTTTTATAATTATTTTGCTTTATGATATTGTTATATAAGTCTTTTGTGTAATTAAAGTGGTATGTGGCTGTACAACACAATATCCTTTTTGTTAGAATTTTAAAAAAAAACTAATCTGTGGGAGATTTATTGTGTTTCTTAAGATATTAACCTAAGGGTGCACAACCTTATTGAGGGAAGGGCTACTTGTACGACAGACTGGCCAATAATATATTGCACTTCAAGTATTAGGACATGTTGACTGCAATTATGGTCATTTTTTTATTGTTTTAGATGCTAAATTCTTTTTATCAGTCAACTTAGTAATATATTTACAAAAAATATTACATGTTTTTTAAATATTAAAATTTATTTGATGACATTAAAATA